GCGCTCGAGGCCGCGCTCAGTCTCAGCTGGAGGTCGCTGTCCAGGTCCCAGTCAACGCGTTGCATGTGGGCCGGCCATGTCCTGGGGGGCGAGTCGTCTTCGGCGCCTCTGCAAACAGGGACAGGATTAACGTTAGGCTGGACCACTGGCGGACGAAGCAAGGGCCCTGCCCAAGCCCCCTGCCACCCCCTTCGAGCTTCAAGCGACCGAAGACCGAAGCGACCTTCAATCCCTACCCCGTTCCCTTCCCCTCCCTATCGGCGCGACGCCCCATGCACGCGAGTCCTTGATTACATCCTCCGCCATCGGTACACACAGAATCCTCCCGGCCCTCCCCCTTGATTGCTTTTCCGGATCAACAATTCCGCCTTCCGTCCGCGGCGTCGTCCGCCCAAGCGGGTAAGTGACGGCCCAGGACGGGCCGCGCAAATGTCGAAATGTCGCCGCGCAGCTAAGCCGAGCGTCCATTTGCCGCCACCGCCTGGCTTCCCCTGGCTTCGTTTTCCTTTTCGTGGCTCCCGGGGGGCGTGGCGGCGTCGCGGCTCAGAAATCATACGGCGTGGCGCGCGAATCCGCGCGGGACTTCCGCACACACACACACACACACGTCTCTCTCACTCACACACAGGAGTAATTTGAAGAGCGCGGAAAGCTAAACGGGCTGTTCGTCCGGCTACGCCCCTGGCTTACGCCCGGCTAACTCCTGGCTAACGTCTGGCTAAATGCCTGCATCCGAACAATACATCGATGTGCCCGGGCGTGGCCGCGCGTGGCGCCTCAGCAGCCTCAGCAGCCCCAGACGTGCGGTGCGGAGGTAGCGCCAAGGCGCGCCAAGGCGGCGCGGCCTCAGATTCGCAACGGACCGACGGGGACCGTGCATCAACACAAATCGCCGCCGCAACCGCCCGCACCGCTGCAAAATGCGACGCCACGGCGCGTAAAAAATAAAGAGAGACAGAGAAAGAAACGAAGAAAAAGTGGCAGGACCTGTCATTTGCACACGTGTGGCTTTTTGGATGATACGTGGTAGCGCGCGCTTCCGATTCAAAGCTCAAACGAGGTCGAATCCAAAAAGGAACGCGCACACACACACACACACAAACACACCAAAAAGGATGGACGAACCTTGTATGCACACACTGACTGTGTGCTCTGCCAAATCACGCAAAAAACTTAAAACTTTTGTTTTTTTGTGATTTTGTTGTTATTGATTTTGGGGGTCGGAGCGGGTGGGGCTGACAAAAACACGCACCTGACATCGAGTGCGAAAAAGCACACAAGGGTATACACCTCATGAAAAGCAAGAGGCCGCACAACTTCATCGAACTGCTTCGCGAGCACCACCACGCCACAGCGCATCCGCTGAAACGCCAACCGAGTGTGACACTATCTCCTCTCGCTCTTTCGAAGGGGTTAACTGAACAAGGTCTAGACTGTGGAGACGGTGGAGAGGAGACAGCGAATTGAGACGGTCCTTGCGCGCCTTGCGGTCTTCCTTCCCTTTCACCGAGTGACGCGCGGTGACGCGGTGACGCGGTGACGCGTCCTCCCCAGGCACCTGTCCGTCCCGGGACGGCCGTCGGGGGGACTCCTCCCGCGTCCCCTGCGAGGCCCCGGCAGCTTGTCGATAAGGGGCCGTCCACAGATTACGTGGCGCCTTCGGTCCTTCGGTCTCCCTCGCACTCAACAACAGCCCAGAGGAGCGACAAGGACGGAGCTATGAAGAAGCGTTGCGTACATGCGCAATTTTTATTTCAGGGCATTTCGAGCGACCATCGTAAAACTTCGCGAAATATCCCTGGATTTCAATGAACTAATGAAACCGTGTTTCGGAGTGAATGTGCCCCTAGTGATAGTGGCTGACTGAGCCTTCCTATGCATGGTTATCGCCGTCACGAGACGTGGACCACGCAGACCCACAATCCTCCAAAATTGGTCAGGTGGTGTGGTTCATGTGCCATGCCAGAATCGCGTCGCCGCGCCACAGCGGGGCCGAGCTTTGGGCAGTCGTTTTGTCACGACGGGGAGCTCGGCCATCGAAACGGACCGCCGGTAGAGGCGTTTTTCGGTGAGCGAGGAAAGCGGGAAAAGAGGCTGGCGGCGCCCACGGACCGCGGCCTTGGCACTACACTGCACCCCAGGGCCTCGCCCAGGGCCTCACCCAGGGCCTCGCCCAGGGCCCACGGGGTCCGAGTTCCAGCACTACTTGTTGGCGCAGACAAAACTCGAAACCGCGCCGCGCCACCCCCTCCCTCCCTCAGGACAAATATTGTACTTGAGGCCCCATTCACGGCCACCAGTCCTTTTGTTTTACTTTTAGCGCCACGAACAACAAACAGGGATGGCAAATCGGCCTCGCATCTGCTGCCCCCATGACCGGACCGGGACTGCGGGGCCTTGGCGGGGCCGGCCGGCCGGCGCGCTATCTCGCGACACAAAGTTGCACGAATAAAACTTGCAGGGCGTACTCCGGCGGCATAAAACAGGATCCCCGGAATAAAAAGGCGCCTTTTACAGCGTACCGCGCGACGATGCTGTCCTTTCTTCTCTCTCGAGCCGAAGGGGAAACGCGGGAAAAATGCGCCGCCGAACCCAGTAAAGGCCGAACGGCACGGCGAGCGCGCCACATGGAGGACATCCCGGCCGGAACTTTGAGGAAGGGTCCTGGCGAGGCCGGCCGCCTCCAGCTTCACTTCAAGCTGCCAGCCCGCTGGCCCTAAGCCCTCGCCGCCCTCGCCGCCCTCACCGCCCTCCCCACGAGGCCACGTCCTCGGTGTCCCCGGGCCCTGGCCTCCCCGGGCCTCGACCCCGGCACGGGGCTTCCCTTAAACTTAACCCCCGAGTCTTCGATAAGATTTTCGGCAGCCGGACAGGTTTTCCCGGCCCCCCCTTCAACTTGGCCGCCCAATCCACGAAAGACTGTTGCGGCGGGCCCGGCGGCTTTGGGGCCCGGGCCCCGGGCCGCGGTCCGCGCGTGGCCCCCCCCCGGCGCCCGTGCCACGCGGCGCGGTGCCGCGCCGGCGCGCCTGCCGCGCCGTCCCGCGCCGTGCCGCGCGTGCCGCGCGTGCCGCGCCGTGCCGCGCCGCGCGCCGTGCCGCGCCGTGCCGCGCCGTGCCGCGCCGTGCCGCGCCGTGCCGCGGTAGCGAGGCGACGGCAGCTGTGGTTGCAGCGGGCTCATTCAGACCAGATGAATGACTCACAGCCGCGCCAAGACGACCGAGACACGGGCGTGGCGTGGCGCGTTGAATTTGTCGTGCGCATGATCGACGCTTTATCGCTGGAGATGCAAATCGACCGCCAGCGCAGCCAGCCCAGCCTCGGCAGCCTCGGCCCGGCAGCACCGACAGCACCGGCAGCCAGCGCGGACAGCTATTAGTACGGCAACGGAACGCGTTCGGCCGCCAGGAGACTGCTTTTCGTCGCTCTGTCTCTCTCACACCTGTGTGGAACGCCCCACTAGAGCGAGAGAGAGCGACGAAAACGATTCCCAATCCGCAGGCCCAACGCCAACACCCGCTCGATTCAGACAAAAATGGCAGGGATAGCCCCGCCAAAGGCCGCCAAAGGGTGGCTTAGACAAACACCCATGTTCGAAGAATCAATAATCCGCGGTAATCCAAACAAGCCGAGGCCGGACAAGCGCGTCTCCTAAATTACGCGGTGGGTCACAATCCGACAAAATCTTCGGTGTTCCGCGACACGAATCACCGCCAAAAATGAAAACGCCGCTCACAGCCAGAGGCGCCAAAGACTCCGCTCCGCCCGACTCCGCCCCGTCGGCTGTCCAGTACGGGTGAGGCGATGGTATCTCACTTTGGCGAACGAAAGTTCAACACCCAGTACGTTCCTCATTTTCGATAGGCTGTCCCGGGGAACCAGCCTCAAATTTTTGTGACGCTTAAGTAAGCTGTGACGACTACGCTTAAGCACAGTGTACTTAAGTTAACCTTACTCAATCGCGACCCCATGAACCTTGCATGAACCAGCCCCAGGGTTGAGAACCGCTGCCTACGGGGGCACGTTCACAGAACTTCCCACATTCATGTTGTACAAAATTTGAACACATGTCACAACTGACAAAAACGTGGCTATAAGTAGGCATCATAGCTGACACAAAGGCCAAAAAATCTTGCACAATCCTGGAATCATTGTACACAAAGTTTTAGAGTGGGTCCCCTTGTTAACAGGCGAGTGGGTACAGTCTCACCTCGGGCTTGGCTTGCTTCGCTGCTTGCGACAGGCCGGAGCCTGGTGGCGGGCTTTCCGTCGCGTGGCGCGGAGCGCGGACGGCACTTCTCGAAACACCGTCAATTCTTCAGGAGCTCGCTTGTTCAGTGTAATTATCGGCGCCACCACACTGGTGATGTCCGGATGGGATGGACCTGCTGCTCGCGGCGTCGGCCCACGGCATCCCCAACGCAACAGGCGGCTGCAGGCGGGGCGCCGAGCCCTAACTTGGGCCGCACGGCTGCGACGTGCTGAGCCTTCGGAGCAAGGGTGCGACGCGACACCGCGCTACCGCACGGGGGATGCCGGGACACGGCACGGCACGGCACGGCCGGTCAGCGAGAATGCGACCGAATGGGGCTTTCGGCTTTCGCGCGCCACGCCGCTCAACGGCACACCACACGTCCGAACCGACTGGCGGGGCGACGGCGGCCAGCGCCAACGCCAGCCGCGGGGAGGGCAGGGAATCTGCGCTCAGCTGGCCGCGGCGCGGCCGCCTCGCCTCTAGGCCCGACTGCCGACTCGGGGAGGAGGGTGGGGGTAGGTCGGGGCGGTCGGGTGGGGAGCGGCGTCGCGGCGTCGCACCCACGGCATCGCTCAGGGGCGTCGGCGCTTCGGCATCACAGGTGCACCGATGTTACAGCCACCTTTCACAGTCGAATCGAATGTGCCTCCGCCGAGCCGAGTGCGGAACGCGGTGAGCGAGCAAAAGGAATGCTTGTCATGCAATTGTTTACACTTGGTGTTGCAGAACAAGAAATAAAATACAAGACTTGTAAATTCCAGATATTGTATTACACTAATCTAAATATATTTACACTAGAGGTCTTCTATAATCAACATAGAAATACATCAGTCATACATACAGAAGGAATTGTACAGGCGTTTCAAAAATGAGTCCCATGCTTATCAACAAAACATATCAGTGCCACTCATACTATGCCACAGTAAAGACAATTACACATAAAACTAAAATTAGTAATAACTAACAAAATATGGCAAAAATATTTGGACACCAACATTTTAAGAAGATTCAAATGGGAAGGACTGTGCTCTTCCTTAAAAATACAATAGACAATCCTGTTACAGATTTACCGGCTCCAATAATCTAAGCCTCAATACAATAAAAACGGATCCAGTCAGTATTATAAACCAAGTCATAACTGAGGTAAGAAAGAAAACACCAGGAGCAGACAGAAATGGGAAAATTACACATCACTTCTTCCTGGAGTTCGCTATAAACAGAACTTCAAACTAATTTATGTGATTTTGTAGGGCAAAAATCTGTTGATTGGTTAAATAAGTTAGTTGGGATGTGCAGGTTTAATGCACCTAGCGTGTAACACTGGTATGATTGAAATTTTAATGTTCAATTTTGAGGGCTATCTTGGAACATATTTCAAACTCTACAGAAATTAAAATATTGGTACATTGTTACATCAATAAAATCTGCACCAATGCCTAATTTGTAAGTTTACAACAAAAATCAGTTGCCACTTTCAGATGATTTTTCTCTGGTATTCTGGTGAAGCTATGCCATAATCTTGAAGTGAGAAAATAGTGGATTTGTTTTTAACCATGTACCTGAAATGAGAAATTTTGTTTCATGTACAAACACAATGTACAACATTAAATATGTTTTAACAATATATGAAATGTAATGTTCTCACCTTAAAAAGTCTTGGATTTGCATTGACAACAGTTGAATGCTTTTGTCATCCAATGGTGTGTATGCTAAATTCTTTCCCAGTTTCACTGCAAGGGATATACATTATTATTTTTTTAAAAAGACATCAAAACAAAAACTATAGTGAAACTTTAAATTAAAAGTAGCATGCAGTTTTTCTATTTTCTAATTTCACTTACTCACCAAAAAGTCTTAAGAGATGAATTCCTCCATAAATACCACTCATAGACTTGTCAGGATGCTGCTCCAATAGCTAGAGAAGTACAATGAAGTTTGTAGAATACAATACAAAGTATAAAATAGGTGTAACACTTCAAAATTTTACTCACTTCACTATACTGTGAACGCTCGAACTTGTAAAGAAGTTGTGACCCCAACATAACATTGAAATAGTCCTTAATTCCTCGTACTACATCCATCAGGCAGCTTTCCCTGCAAACAATAAAACCGGTCAGTAGAAGAATCACACTACCTGGTAGCTCTACAAGATAGAAAAAATTACTCACTTGTTTGGAGTGTTGCTCTTGCTGGAAGTTTTCATTTTGACATAATTATCCAGAATCTCATCAACAGTGAGCTTTGCTGGAAGGTTGACAAGCTGAAAAATTTATACCAATTTATACTATACAGAGCAGATAATCTTTAAAAATTGAAATTAAATATTGATTGATGAACTTTAAAGAACTTCTAATATGGCATAATCAGTTGAATACCTTTCTTTGTCTTGTAATGAGATCCCAGTCATCAACAAGAGACGGTTTAAGTTCATCTGGCAATTTCACTTTAACCTCTACTTTAGATAGAAACTGTTCTTCTGTTTCCACAGTGGCATCTGCTCTGCTCTTCTTCTTTTTAGGCACATCACTGGACGAATCTTGAGAAGATGACGGTGTTGATGGTTGAGACTTTTCAGATGCCTTCTGAGTGGGAGTTGAGGAACGGCTATCAGTGTCCCCGTCACCCCCTTTACCCTTGACAGCTTTTACAGCTTTCTTTTTACTGCTGTTGAAGATACATGGAGTTAGTCATAGAAATAGATCATTTTTTGGGGCAAATTAATGCTTAGTTTCTTACACTGGATTTGCTGCATGGTTACGCTGAAGGTCCTTCTGCTTAAGAAGATTCTGCTCATTGTATTTCAACACTCGGTCTTCAGGAACCCACTCATCCCAACTAGAAAGGAAAATTTAGTTAGGATACCGTGGTTGAAAATGTTCAAATATAAAATTTAAAACAGCATTGAAATTAGGAATTTAAGAGGGTTCAATATAACCTACTTCTTATTCCATCCAGCATAATGGATTAGATATTTGATAGGGCCTTTATCATTAGATGATTGTTTCAGGCATTTTGCCTCATATATTAGGGGTCCATGAAAGCATAGAACCTTCTCTCCTGCCAAAAAATAAAAAGGTAATCAAAATTCCACCATATTGGTTCAATTAATTCCTTCGCTTCATGAGATAAAAGGTACATAAACATAGGCGGCAAGGCAAGAGTGCAAACAATACTTCAAAACATGCTTGCTTAGTCCATATTTTGAGCATTTCTGATCAAATACAATCCCGGAAAAAAAATCAAACACCAAAAAGTACTTTATAACTCCATCCATGAAATTTTAAACAACTCTGCAATAATTTTACTGAACAAAGCCTGAATAATGTTCAATTACCAACAACATCCTTTCACACTCATAAGAATGAGAAAATCTGGGACATACCCCAGGTATGTAATAGGGTCAAAAAGAAAGAACATTTCTAGAAATTTGGTATAGAGTACCGACAAAGTCCATCGCTTACTAGAAATGCATAATTTAATCAAGAACTGCTCATTACATAAAACTGTCAACACAACTACACTGATATGCCAGGCGTAAGCAGTTTGTGCTTAAATTAATCACATAGAAAAGAACCCGAACCTTCTTTAAATTTGTAAGGTGCATTAGGGGCCATCTCAGAATAAAAATCTAAAGGAAAATGCTATCGAAGAGAGGTTACCGCGACAACTAGAACCACAACTTCAACCGGTGCGGAAAGACCGGTGGGCGAGATTCTCTATTCACACGAAATGGGCCTTTATTTGCACGGCAGCTGTCTGCCAATAACGAGAAGTTGTTGACAGGACTATTCGCACACGGCATGGGCAGACAGGATTTGTTTGTTGATAATATTCTGAGAGTCGCGCGAAGTTTTATGTAGATTTGTAGATTGTACATTCTCAAGGGAAAGGAATTGCATGGTATGCACAATGCATTGCCACTGCATGCTGTGGCTATGACCTGCCCTCTTTTTAATCCTGCCAGTTGTACGTTTGGAATCATATCACTGACGTAACTCGTAACCAACTGCGACGAAGTTTTTCTTCAATTTGTTATTTTGCGTAAAATTAGAAAGTTGTCTTGTGCTGTCCCCTTCAGCATTCGACACCTTATTTTGTGCAGTTTTGGACTGATTGATTTGGGAAGAATGTGCCGTGTTCCGGGCGTTATGCCCTAGTGCCCGTCTTTTAAGGCTTGTTTGGACTGCAATCCTAGAGGTTAGAGGCACTAGCCATGTTTGACAGCCCCGAGTCTAAGAAGGATGAATTGCTGGAGCAAGCACGAACCGCACGCAAGGAAAGGGAACTTGAGAAGAAGAAATGTCTGGCGGCCTCTTGCATCCAGGCTCACTTTCGAGGCCTTCAAGCCAGGAGGGAGTTCTCTAAGACTGTGCTGTAAGTGTCACTGTCATCTTGCAACAGAAATCAGTGCAGTATGTCAACAGACACTTAAATGAAAACTTTGTTGTTGTTCTTTAAAATACAACTTGTTGTGTTTGTGTTTTCCTAGGGAGCAGTTTGATACGGTAATCAATGATGATCCGGCAACAGCTGAAAAACTGCCGGCACTGCAAGCATATCAGGTGGCTCGCCGTTTTATGCTTGTTTGGAAGCAAGATAGAGATGTGGACCGAGTTTTGCAGCTTTGCAGGTTAATTGAGTTCTCCACATGTAGTAATCCTCCATAAATTTCTCTATTACTGCCTCAACATTTGATGACACTTGTTTTTTATATAAATATTTATATGTCATATTAATTTAGCACCCTATGCTTTCAGGTACCTTGTCTCAAGCTTGGAAAGTGAATCCCCACGTTACAGTTATGTCGGAATCGCCTTAAACAAGGAGCATGTGCTTCGATGGATATCACACATGAAGAATATATTATCGAGAATTTTGTTGTATATTGATGGTTTGAAGCCAGAGCGCCCAGTGGATTGCAAAAGCCTGATGACCTATCTTCATACACTCATAGCATTTACTTCAACATCAACTTGGGTTCTGATCAAATCTAAAAACTTTGAAAATTTAAGACCAGGGCTGAACCACTTGTGTTCCAACATAATGGGCCACCTTGCTTCTCAGGTATACAGACACACCTCTGTAACCTTCAAAAGGTTTAAGTTTGTTGTGAATTTTATTTCTCAATGTTCCGTTTATGTTGCAGGGTCTTTATCAGTCTCTTCAGTTACTTCTCAAACGTAGCCTCTGCCGATCTACAGTAGTTCTGAAGCATGCAAGCTTATCAGCAGCTGTGACTTTAGCACTGAGACCTCTAATTGCTGCAAGTTTTTCTGACAAACTTTCAACCATTTTCCTCATTCATATTCTCAGTGTGCCTGCCTTAGTGTCCCATATTCAAACATTAGCACCAGAGGTACAATATGTTTCACCCTTTTAAAATTTTACTTTTATTTTGGTATGTTGGTGTGTAACAAATTTTGTTCTGTTGAAGTGTTTAACATTGATTGAACAACATTCCATTCTACGGAGAAGTTTTGAACTGTTGAGTATTGAACAGAATCTTCGCATTGTTTTCAATGCTCTTGAAGGAAATTATGCTCTTTGCTTGCTTGCCAACCTTATTCAGCTTGCACATTTTGAAAGGGAAACAACTCTTCCAGAACTTGCTTTCCCAACTTTTACAGTAAGTGTATTTCAATTGATATGCGCTCTGTTCTTTATCAACAACTTTTAATTGTGTGAGTGTGTGTGTTTTTTTTTTCCTTTTTTCTGATATTAAAATTGTTTCTTTGTTTAGGTTGTTGTGACTAGACTTCTGGAGAGCTGCATGCACTATGTTATGCAGAAGCAATCACCTCTGGCTCATTGGCATCCGGTTTTGGGTTGGTTTGCTCAAAGCACTGATGCCTATGCTCAAGAAGCCATGCCTTTGGTGAAGCAGCAGTTACACTTACTCTGGTCGGGCTCCCTTGTTAAGCTTCTGTTGGGGCAAATACTTGCTGAATTTTCAGAAAAATCACAAATAGAAGAAGAGGCCAGGAGCCCAGCTCCTACAAACATCATTAGAAGGTGAAATTAAGAATGTGTTTAAGTATGCAAGGATTATGATCAATATTATTACAGTATTTCATTCTTATTTCATTATTTTTTGCTCACACAGAGCTCTGGAAAATCGAGTTAACCGAGCTAGTTCTGCTAAAAGCTATAGAAAGTTAGGCAGTCCAGAATTCACAAAAGTTGCATTGGTTTGCTCATTGTATCAGACTGCTCTTTCCACCCTTACCCAATTATCCCTTGATATATTGACTGGTAATGTGTTCCCAACAACAATTATTCTATGAGTTACATATTTCTTTTTATTCTCAGTTTTTACACCCATTGTTTCAGGTCTATGCTACCAGGATAAAGTTCTTTACCACCTTTGGTCATTTCTCTGTTCTTTGGGTCCTAATTGTGGCTTGAAAGCATTTCTAGAACTTCTTGCAGTCAACATCAAATGCACAGCCCCTGAATTTCAAATGCTTATCCTTTTTTGTAATTGTATGACTAACTATGTTACCATTCTTGATGATATGGAAATGTATGACCAACAAGAGCCATTTAAAATTACTGATTATGTCACATTGAGTAACTTCCTCAATCTTTTCTTATACCGATCCATTTACAATCAATTGTTTGGTAAGTATCTTTAATTACATGCTCAAATTGCTGTCTTATCACTCTATACTTTAACTCACTTTATTTACAGACTTGAAGTCTTTGCACACCAACCCCGTCTTTGTAGAAATGCATACCCTCCTTCAAGTACTATATCGTCGAGATTGCCGGAGGCGTTACAGTCCGGATAATCACTGGCTAATTAAAGAAATAAGAGTTAGTCAGTTTATGGCTGATTTGGAAAAAGGAAAAAAGCCAGTAGTGGTAAGTTTAAGATAACTTATTTACTGCCCTATGCTGGTCTTGCATTTAAGCTTACCCATATCCTCTGACTGTATTTGTCTTTCAAGATGCTTCTTCAGAAAATGCCACACATCATTCCTCATGAAGAACGTGTTAACTTGTTTAGAAAGCATGTGGCTAATGAAAAGGCAGTTTTTGGGCTAACTGAGTCTGCATGTGCCATCTCTGTTTCTCCTCAATCAACTTTAATCACAGTCCATAGGTAAAAGCTTGACCTTATCTGCTCCTCACTGCTACATTGCAGCATTTCTAACGTGATTTTATTGTGTGTCTTTAGATCACGAATAGTGGAGGATGGTTATAGGCAACTGGCTCTTCTGCCTCCTCAGTCCTTAAAAGGGGTTATACGAGTCCGCTTTATAAATGAACAAGGTTTGGATGAAGCTGGCATTGACCAAGATGGTGTCTTCAAAGGTAATCTATTTTAATGTTTCCTTTTTTTTTAATAAATGAAAAAGGGTTTTAGTTCTTTTGCCATGAACAAGTTCACTAAAAGGTCTTCTGGATATTTTTGCTTTTATCATTCCCTTCATTTAAATGTTTTTTGTGATTTATTTTAGAGTTTCTTGAAGAAACTATCAAGCGAGTGTTTGATCCCACTCTGAACTTATTCAAAGCAACTTCAGAAGAGAGGCTTTATCCATCACCAACTTCCTATATTCAAGAAAATCATCTGCAACTCTTTGAATTTGTTGGACGTATGCTGGGCAAAGCGGTGTATGAGGTAATTTGTTATTCTTGGTTGTGAAAAACTATTTCACCTTAGTCTGTTATGGAATACAGCTTTTCTTCTTATAAGTATGTCACTGTTCTTATATATTTAAGTCTAATAAATTTTACTTTGCTTTAGGGTATTGTTGTTGATGTTCCCTTTGCATCATTTTTCTTGAGCCAAGTCTTGGGTCACACTCATCAAGTGTTGTATTCAGCAATGGATGAACTACCATCATTGGATAGTGACCTTTACCGCAGTCTAACATTTATTAAGCACCATGCTGGTGATGTTGGGGACCTAGATTTAACATTTTCAGTAGACCAGGATTGCTTGGGACGTGTTGTAACACATGAGCTTGTCCCTGGTGGCCGTGTAATACCAGTAACCAATGAAAATAAGTAAGTTTCCCCAGGATATAGTTTAATTATTGCTTTGCATATTCACTACATGAGACCTTGTTAATTAATCCAACCCTTTTTGTAAAGAATCAATTATATCCATCTTATGGCTCACTTTCGAATGCACACTCAAATTCGAGAGCAAACAGCAGCCTTTATCAGAGGCTTCCGATCTCTGATAAATGTAGAATGGTTGCAGCTGTTTTCTACTCCTGAGGTAATTATGGGTCTCTTTGTGTATTTGGTCCTATTGTTTCACTGACAACTGCAATTTTCATACTAAGTCCACTTATTACAGCTCCAGCGTCTCATATCTGGAGACAATGTTCCCTTAGATCTACGAGACCTGAGACGTCATACCCAATATTATGGTGGATTTCATGATTCTCATAGAGTTGTTAATTGGTTGTGGGATGTTCTTGACCGTGATTTTACTGAAGAGGAGCGTGCGCTATTTCTTAAGGTAATGTGATAGCCATGATGATAATACAGCAACAATAAAATTTCATCCTCCTTGATGTGCGATAAGCTTGTTCTACCTCAATTATTTTTTTTCATAGTTTGTTACAAGCTGCTCCAAACCACCTCTCCTAGGATTTGCACACTTGGAACCCCCATTTAGTATTCGCTGTGTAGAAGTTGGCGATGATGAAGATACAGGAGATACTATTGGTAAGGGCTGTGACTTGTCTTGAAATAGCCCACAAGTTGTAATTCTGACCTGAAAATTCAAATGTATTGCGTGTGCTTTACTGTAACATTTAATTCTTTTACTTCTTTCCTTGTCATTTGCAGCCAGTGTAATAAGAGGCTTTTTTACAATTCGGAAGAAGGATCCACAGAACCGCCTGCCAACTTCATCCACATGTTTCAATTTATTGAAACTCCCAAACTACCAAAAGAAAAGTACATTAAGAGAAAAGCTGCGTTATGCTGTATCAAGCAACACAGGCTTTGAACTTTCTTAAAAGAAACTAGCCCTTTGTTACTTAAACATGTCATTATGAACATATTTTCGCAAAGGAGAGGTGTATGTTTTATAGCTAGATGTTCTGTGCTATTAGTGAAAATTGACTTCTTCAAAGTTTTTCGTTTTGTTTTATGAAAGAATTCTTGCCATTTTGATGGCTTTGAAAGAAAAACTGCTTAATTTTTATAGATTGGATGACTGTAGGGTACAGTAGTTTGTATATGTTCCCTGTCCTGTAATAGTGTCAATAATTTACAATTTGTCAAATGGCTTTAAGAAATATTGTGACTTACTCTGTTAAAACTGTGATATTATTACTCCATTAAAAATGTGGAATTGTGGAGGTTTCCGTTTTTGCAAAGTTCTACTCGGATGCTTATATTATGTTGTTAGAGATGGTTAATATATGTGATGGAAACAAAACAGAGGCTCTTTTTATGTGTGCTTTCAATTAAGAGGTAAATGAGGGAGTTTAGGTATGTTTTATAATAGTTTGTACCAGCAGTAAAAAATTTTACCTTTTATTTATATGGTGGTATATTTTCAGTGATAAATACATTCGAAACCCATAAATTTTCATGTGTGATAAGGGCAGAATGTTGATTTGCCAAACTATTGTGAACATGTAGTTTTTACGCTGCAAAAACTGAACCAGCTTTGCTTGCATATCTAGTCAGAAAATATCTTCAAGTTTGATCAAAGGTTGTGCTGCCAACTAACTTTCAGTTGGCCCTTTTAGGTAGTTATTGTGTTGCCTTGAAGTTCCACTAGTTGAGGTTGGTTATTTCTTGTTCAAAATCTCTAGTATTGGTTTTAACTATTATTCTTTATTGTTTGAGATAGTTCTTGCCATAGCCTTCTTTCGTTTTTGGGAATGCTCTTTAACATCATTAGAGATAATTGTTTGTGTTTGGTGCCTCTTTATAAGAAGGCTCATGGTTCATGCTAGTTGACCAAAGAAAGGCTCTAAATTGCTTTCATCCGTTTTTGTGCAGTACTCTTTAAGTTAGTTATTTTGCCTTTTTAAGTAAAATATATTTCTTAACATCTTTGAGTAGGGTGAGGATGGTCCATTTAGTTTTGTCTTTTGTCAAAAATGTAATGTTTCCTGAGTTGTTTTTTTTTTTTTTTTTTTTTTTTAATTCTTGCCTTTGTGTAGAAGGCATTTGTCCAATCACTTTACATGGCTTACATACAATGACCTTTTGATACTAGCTGTACTGTGTGAAAGAGCTAGAAATAGCATTTTTATTACCCTTTATTTACATTGCTGTAAACCACTCATTTGAATGTAGACTGATAGAGAAAGGAGAGTTTCTCAGGTGTCTGTTTGGCGTTCAATCTTTTTTTATTCTTTTTTTAATTACTATGGCTGTGATACATTGGCTTACAGTTAACATCTCTTCATATTCTTATTTATTTGTATGAGGATCATCAAAATGCTACTTTTAAACCGTGCTAAACAATTTAGAAATCACCCAAGTAGTCTGTGTATGGTTCAAACAAACTAATGTGAAGGTGGCATAACAGCAGAGACACTGTAAAAGTTGAAATATTCATAATTAAATGTGATATGTGTGCTTCAGTACGCATCTGAATTGTTGTTATTAATCATGAATAAAAAAACCATGAACATTTGACATTGTTTATAATTTTGTGTTCTTAATATTGTATAGCACTTAACCCACTCTCAGGGGAAGGGGGGCTGTAGGCGTAAAAACATTGCTTAGGCTAAGGGGATCTGCAGGAACACAGGTAGGCGATAAATTGCAGTCATCTTGGACAAGAGAATAGCCTGGACCAGGGAGGCAAGTCACCTTTCTGGTCAGCCCCCCTTACCCACATCCCTTCCCCTGTTAGCCATGCCTTTTTTTGTGGCCCTTGAAGAGATCTATCGTCTGCGTGTCGATATCTTTCACCCAGTTGGAGAAAGCGGCCCCACACTTATTGGACTCCCCTGCCTAACTTACCCTTTGAGATTTTGATCAAAATTAGGTATCAAGGTATCGAGCCTCGAGCCAGAATCTCAGCTTCCTACCAAGTCGAGAACTGTTACTTCGTCTAAGTATTTAGCAGCATATTTTAATTATGTTTACACTGGTGGAGGAACTCATCTAGTGTAGTGTAGAATGTGTGGAATGGACTCCTCCCTAGCTAAGAGCTCAACAAGGTAGTGGGAGGAGAGGCCACCCTGAGGCTACGCCAGCTCCGAGGAGCCGGAGCTGCGCAAGAGTCATCAAGGCTGCAGGTGTTAAGGTTCAGTTGCACTTCTTGAGCAATGATGTGCAACGCTTTTTCAATGCATTGGTTTACCACAACTGTCAAGACTTGAACCCTGTTCCGATTGCCGCCACCATGCCGCTCGGAGCTCTGCCAATGAGCGTCGAGAACGGTTGCTCGTGGGTATATTTCAAAACTGCCAACACACTAGCAATAACTCTCCATGTACATCAAAGACTATGGCTTATAGGATCCTACAATGTGCCTCAAAGCTAGCATCTGTAACTAATTAAGGAAGGAGTGGATCAATGATAAAATAAAGAACACTCGCTAATTTTCCTGAGCTGTTGACAGAATGGTAGCAATTTTGATGCTGTTAGTGCACAGGCCTGGACAGCGAAAACAACAAACAAGAACAACAACATTACAACAACAACACTACGACCAAGCGCATGAGGCTGGGTGGTCTTCGTGGGTGGTCAAGATGCGTTTGCTTCTCGACTGATTGTGCAGTAGGATGCATTGTAATCCTAATTGACTTTTCTAACTCTTCAGAAAAATATGTTGCCATCGGACAAAGTGTGAATATACCAAATGCCGTACTTTCAGATATTTTATGGAATGATCAAGACCGCTCCTTCGTGGTGTTAGGAGAAGGAATCATCAGGTAGGCACGCAACCAAGTTTCGTTTTATAACCTTTGCGAAGTACTTTCTTAGTTTTGATGTCCTTATCTGTGAAACACGGAGTTAAGTCGTCATTTGTATCTGTTACATATGTTTCGGTTTCATTGTTGGTCTTTACTTTGTTCTCAGATTGGAGTTTGATTCTTCTTAAGTCGTCAAGCAACCTCACACAATGCTTCTCCTGCATCTATTTTGGCTTGCTATTCTTGCTGTCCAGTCGTCAGGAAATCAAATATCTAATGAAAGTGACACACTGGTCATTCCTGAAAATACATCTAGAGATCTTGGTAACCGCCTCCGAATGAAAGAGAAACCATCTCTGCTTATGTCACCTCTGGATACAACTGGACCACAATGTCGACGTAAAGCAAAATGCGAACATTTGAACAATACAATGTGCTTAGGAGCAAAATTACCGTACTCTTCAAGCACATTGGAATTGGTTGGTCTGACTCAGGAGCAAATGCAAGAAAAACTTCAGTTTTGGACTGCTCTTAAACATGTACCAAGATGCTGGGCAGTTATTCAACCTTTACTCTGTGCCTTATATATGCCTCGTTGTGACAACGACTCGGTTGTCTTGCCACTTCAAGAAATGTGCAAGACAGCCATGGGCCCATGCAGAATTTTAGAATTGGAAAGAGGCTGGACAACACCTCTTCGATGTGATGATACCGACAGGTTTCCTCTCAATTGCAGCAAAGTAAGCTGATCTTCTAAGAAAAATTCTAACTTGTTTGTGTCTTAATGTGAATTTATAATCATTAACATGCCAAATGTTTCCTTTCAGATAGAGGCTCGTGAGGTGCGCTTCAATACCACCTCTGAATGCATGGCACCTTTAGTACCTACTGATAACCCTTCTGCATTTTTCGAAGGGACAGAGGGTTGTGGTATGCAGTGTGCCAACCCCATGTTTACTCCAGATGAACATCGCCAGATTCATGATCTCATTGCATGGGCTGGTGGCGTATGTGCTGCTGTTAATTTCTTCACAGTTGTAAGTGACCAAAACACTTATTGTTAGAAATGGGTACCTATGTGGAATCTATGATCATGTTCACAGTCCTTAATTTTTGTGGTCTGTTTTCAGGCATCTTTTCTGATTGACTGGCGATCAGCTAACAAATACCCAGCTTTGATAATTTTCTATATCAATTGCTGCTTTCTGCTAGTGTGTGTTGGGTTCATGGCACAATTTTTACCAGGAGCAAGAGAAGGCATTGTGTGCCGTAAGGATGGTACACTCAGAATGGCAGAACCGAGGTAAGTAACATTATTAAAAGCACAGGACTATAATTATCATCATCATTTTTTCATGTTGTGTAGCGATCTGGGTTTCTTTTGTTAATTTTGTGTTATGCTTATGTCAATTTTGGAAATATAATTTTTGTTTCAGTGCAGGGGAAAACTTGTCATGTGTCATAGTCTTTGTGCTAATTTATTATTCTTTGATGGCTGCATGTGTATGGTTTGTTATTTTAGCATATGCATGGCACCTAAGTTTTCGAGCATTAGGTAAGCATTGTTAGCACTGAATGATCTTCTGGCTTATTCAGATGCTTATTTTTGCATGAAGTATCTTTTTCCCCTCTGTTTGCATATCATTTTGTTGTTTATCTATTAGTTAAAAGTGCTTGTGTGCTAAAGTGATTTGAAAATTATTTTGTTTTTCATAGCTATTGAAAGCATTTGAAAGTGTGCTCTATTTCATGTTATGTTATACTTTTTAGATTGAATGTCAAACCATAAGCTCACTGGTGTTCTTTACAGTAACATAATCAACATTATATCTCGCATCTTTATTACATTGCATGTCTTTATTTTTTGTCTTGCAGGTAAAATCCAAGATCGTATTGACAAAAAAGGGGCATATTTTCATCTTGTAGCTTGGTCTCTTCCTCTTGTTTTGACTATAACCACAATGGCTATTGGTGAGATAGATGGCAATAGCGAGTTGGGCATTTGCTTTGTTGGGTATATGAATCCAGCAGCAAGAGGAGGGTTGCTCCTAGGGCCCATTGCTGTGTTATTCTCAGCAGGAGCGTATTTTCTATTAAGAGGTTAATATAGTAAAATTTATCAGAAACCATTTCATCTTTAATATGTGGAAATAATTTGTTTGTTTTCTTATATTTGCTGTCCGGCCTCAAATGTTTCAGGTCTCATCACTCTTATAAAAGTTAAGATCAATAGCCATGAAATAATTTCTGAGAGAGCCAGTGCCAAAATAAGGGAGACTATTGTGAGAATGGGATTCTTTACCTTATTCACTTTTATTTTTGTCGTTGCTACCTTTGTTGTGCACATTTATGAATTCCAACATCGGCGCTCTTGGAAGGAAAGTTTCCGCACTTTCATGATGTAAGTGTTGAAAACAGCAAAAACTACCCACCTCTCTCTATGTCATTGAATGCATCAATTTATATCATTTTCCCCATTCTCTCAGATGCAAGATTATGCGAAGTGGTGGTGTATTGACAGATGGTGTTGGCCTGACTGGGCATGGTGACTGTCGCATTGAAGTGCGTCCCAGCCTGGCTATGGTTCAGTTGCATCTTTTAGCTCTATTTACTTGTGGTGTTGTAATGTCTTCCTGGGTTTGGACGTCGTCAACTGTAGACACTTGGATCCGATTCTTAAAAAGGTATGCACAATCATACTGAAAATACATACTTGCTTTAATTTTACTTCAACAAGGGATAGTGCTAATAATTTGTCTTAAAGCAGGTTTTTTAACCAAGAAGAAGAAGATGAACCAGTAAAAATGAAAAAGCACAAGGTAATAGCTCAAGTATTTGCAAAACGGCAAGCTTTCAATCGCGCGGGAAGGATCTCTATTAGTTTCCACAGCACCCATGATGACCCAGTTGGTAAGTCTCATTTTTATTTTGTTCTAATTATTATAGGGCAGTTCTACTTAATTTTTTTCTGCTTAACAAATCTTTTATTTTCAGGGCTTAACTTTGAGTTAAATAGTGTTGCATCTCAAGACATGAGTACAACCTGGGCAGCTGCTCTTCCCAAACTTGTCACTCGAAGAGGTGCCCTCATAGATCCTGCTACAGGGTCCATTTCAAGTCAATATTCTGATTTTAGCCATGGTGTTCGCAGGTATATATTTGTGGTACTAGTAGAAATTACTCAACAAAATATGTTTTCCCAATGGCTTACATTAAATTTTGTTCTAGAGTGTCTAGATTGTCTAATGAGTCTCGGAGACAAAGCCTTGATTCACAACTGTCTTTTGCTCTGGGTGAGTTTACTGCGGGCCGTAAAGCTGGATGCACTCCAGTTCCACCTCTGACTTCTTTGGGTGTATCAGGAGGACGTGTGAAACCAAGACATAAAAGGAAAAAGCATCAGGCCAAACGCAGTCGAATCGGCTTGTATAACAGACGAGGCAGCTCAACATCTCAAGAGAGTCAACTGGGAGCTCAAGTATGTATTTCCAATGAAAGCATAGTACATTTTTCCTGGTTTGTCTAAAATGATGATACTTACATCCAGGGTAATATTTCCCTTTTAGATTTTATCCACTTTCGGCTTGGGTAACCCTAATCTACCATCTCTGGTGCCAAACCTCAAGAGAAGAACTGGCAATGCTGGGTTAAATGATGACCAAATACTTCCAAGTTCTCTTACTACTGGAGGTATGTTTAGATTTCCTGATCCAAGTGAAACTGAAGATGATGCCCTACCAGTACTTTCCCCAGGGAAGAAGAAAAATGAAATTGACCGACAGAATGCCCCTGAAAATAAGCCAGATAGCAACAGCAGAGCATCTGGAAAAACTCAAGGTGAAATTGGCTGTGATACTAATGAAGGTGGGGGTAGAAATAGCAAATCTAGTGGCCAACAACAAGTGCAGAAAGATGGTGCACAGAGCCGGGATTCTAGTTTAGACAGTAGCTCGGTTTCTCCAGATAGAAAATGTGGAGACAAAAATGGTGAATTGAATGGAGGAAGGAAAAGAAATAACAGAAAGTCCAGGGAAAAACTATCTGCTGATGAGTCACATAACAGAATGAAACTCCTTAATTCTAATGAGTCTAATAAAGTAGGTACACTGGAAACAAAAACTCACCAAGGTATGACATATACCAAAGTGAAGTCGGAGTATCCAAGTAATGTTTACTGCAGTGATGATAATTCATCAGCCAGTGATGAAGAGCAGGAACATTTTGGTGTTGACATTAGTTCAAACACTAAAGAAAAGCCCTTTCGGAACAGTGCTGAAGTAAGAAAGACACCAGATAAAAATACTTCTCTAAAAGAAGGCTCAAAGCCAAATGATGAATTATCAGACGCATCTTCATCCTCCTACAGCCATGAAATCTCTTGCCTGAACCTAAAATCATCCCTCTCTGGGATATCAACTGGAGCTAGCAAGCATGTCACAGTTTCTTCGTTGAGACAAGCTCGGGAAGTAGCCACTCAAACGTCACTCTCAAGTGGTCTTAATGATGTAGGAAATATTGAGGATGAAAGACAAAGATTCTTATCAGAATCTCATCCTAGTCACCATTCTTTATCAGACGCATTGAGATCTGACAACATTTTTAATAACATCAGTAATAATCATAGTTCTAAGAGAAGTTTCCAGGATAAGGAAACCAAAGTCTCAAGATCAAAAAGTAGTGAGATGGATAGACGCAAAAGCTCAACTGAGCTGGTTCGCAATCCAAATGCTTAGTTATGGAAGTACTGTACTGGTTGGATAAGAACAAATCATGTTTGTTGAATGTATTATTGAACATCACTTTTAGTATGTACATTATGTACAATATGTGCCAAATAACTTCTATTTTTGATAGAATAAGCCTCTCTTTTTACTTCTTAGTGTGTTACATATGATGAATTTTTCTTAAGTTTAGGTTGAGATTTGTGTGTATGTTTGTTATGAACTTGTGTAAGAATACTCATAACACTTATTTATTTATGTGAACATCCTCATGTGAATAGCATGAGGGATTTTACTTGCTATTTTTACAATAATGCAGTATTTTATTTTTGACACTTTTTTTTGTCAGTGTTTGGCTGGTATCTGCACACAATTTCCTTTATTTAATGTAGGCAGTAAACTTTGTAATGTGAACCAGAATTTAAGTCTGGCATGATATTTAATTTTACTATGTTCTCTAATGAAAGAACAACCACAATTTGTTACTATTTTGTTGACAATTTTTGAAGTAGAGTACTTTTGTGAGAGTGAACTCTTGAATATTTCTCACTGTTAAGTTCACAATACTATATTTTAAGACTGACAAAGAGACTGTCAAAATGCCCTGGAATTCGAGATTATACACATTTTTTGTATGTATTGCTCAGTTGTAATAAACACACCATTACATTTACAAAGCTATTGTATTTCAAGTTCTGCAGGTACAAACCTTCAACCAGCTTCCCAGCTCTGTACTTTGAGTTTGTTGATCTCCCGGACTAGGACTCGGCTCCCTAGCGTATGATAACATTGTCCTCAGTTTACTTCCAAAACCCAGTACATTTACTACCTCAGTTGACTGCTTGAATTCGTTCATCACTCTAAGTTTAGACGAACGTAAACCAATCGGTGCCTTGGTGGGCTCAGGTGTAGGCCGTGGTTAGAAGTACTTGGGTTCAAATCCCGGCTGGTACTTTCCGCAGCGCTGCTTTTGAAGCAGCGTGTCTAATGGGTGGCCTACCTTGACGGCGCGGCTCTGTAAAAGGGCTAGCACACCAGACAACCCGAAAGTACTAGTTCAAGGCGAGGCTCGAGCCCGTAGGGAGAGTATTTTGCGGACAAGTGAATGAATTTGTGCGTGTTTGAACAGAGGATTGGTGTGGGTGATAAATCGTCAAAATCAGAATCACTCCAAGATTTAACTCCCTCTAAAGCTGCGCAGAAGAGTTCCTGCCGTCGGCTCCCACCCACGCCAGCGTGTCAAATGGGTGGGTGGCCTACCTTGATGGCGCTGATTAATCTTAGAGTGATGGTTCTGGGTTTGAAATGCCACCACCTGAACTGAAGAGCATAAGAAGCTAAGAGCATGAGTAAAGTTCCTGCTGCTATTTTATTGAATACATCACATAAAATCTTGAATTTACAACCCCCTTAAACACAAACAAACCAAGGCAAAGTAACAAAAACGTTTATGATGTTCCATTCTTAAAATTGCTCAGTAAAAAGCCCCTTACATTTTTGTTTTAAGAAAAGAAAAAAACCTCTGAATGATGACTTGTTGATAATCAGTTTATATCTTTCTTGTCTAAAAAATGGAAAAGAAAAAATAAGTACAATAACATAATGACAAGGAAAGTTTCATGACAATCCGCCTAGTTCTGAAAAAGAGAACTGTTACAGTGGAATTTTTGATCAGATTTTTAAAGTTACCAATTACAGTTTGAGACTATCCAAGTTATTCAGATGTCAAAGTAATTACATGTAAAAAAAATAAACTTAATACTATCACCCTTATCACAGATACATGCCCTCAACATTTCTCTTGAAGCATAAAACAGGTTTCTTTACTACTGTATCACAGAGGAAGATGTGACTTGAAATTGTTATAAAGCTTCTGACTGAATAAATACAACTGAAAATCTTAAGTTGTCATAAAATACACTCAATTATGGCTCTGAATGATAGTTACTTCATAGCTCACTAGAGTGAGGAGGTACTAGTAAGTTCGCATGCATATACACTCTCCACAGAACTTCCTCACCCACATCTTAAGATAAAACACTATTTATACAAGCAACTTCTTTTTCTTTCTGTTTCTTCTTACAAATCACAGTGGCTTAGCAGCAGAGACCTGCCTAAGAATAACTACTGTCATGGTATAGAACACAGAAAATTTCAACTCCCACACCTCAATTCAGAAACAGTCAGAAGATATGCGTTGAAGAGAAAGACACTTAGTATGGACGCAGAACTACCATGGTAACCAAACCTGCAACAAACCACAAAAATTACATTCTACACTCCTCATGGTGTAAAAATACAAGTTGAATATGACCATTGGAAACTTGTAAGTACTGTACCTAAAACATAGGCAAGGACAAGTTTAAAATTCACTGAGAGGTGAAATGGGGCAGGCGATTTATCTCCTTCCGTGGGAAGCATTAGTGCAACACAACAGAGGACTCCGACCGCAACAGCAACATAGTTTGGTGCAGCAGCACGTCCTACAAAAGCATAATGAGATTAATGGATCTAAGGTAGTGCAAATAGGTGTCGAATATCTGAACAAAAGTGCTCACCTGCTCTTCCATCTCTGACAAGGTACTGTTGTTGTTGAGGAGACTGAGCACCAGATACAAGTGGCAGTTGTTGAAAATTATCCCTATCTCTCTCTGAAGAGGCATCATGAGTTCCAGGGACCAGTCGAGCTGTAACATCTCGCTTTCCGATAACCTGCGAAAAACGGCAGCAAATATTATTTCGACTCTTAAACACACAACCGAAAACAAAGGACTATTTCAAATAAGTACCTGTTTTGTAGTAAGGTCTTGCATTTGAATTCGGAATTTATCAGTTACATTGCAATTTGATGAGGTTGTTGCATTGTGGCGTACTACAATATCTATGCAACACTGTGGCTTAATTGAACCTTCTGGATCCACAACAGTATACTTGTTGGGAGCTGTACACATAACTGAAAGCAATTTTTTTAGTTTTTTTATTGGGCTTCAAAAGCATAATGACAGAAAATTTATTGTGTAAAACCTAGTTATGGAGCATACCTTTAAATCTTACTGCAAATTCATAAGGATTATAGAGAGTCAAGACTTGTTTGTGAGTTGTTTGATCATCAAGATAAAAATTAATTGACTGTGGAAATACAAAAATAGGTACTTTTTGATCAAACCCAGGAGATGGCTGCATGTTGTGACCTGAAAACAAGGAATACATCCATACAATCATGCCAACCACGAGATTGTTCATAATTTTGTCCTTGGTAGAAATTAAGTCATGACATTGTATGAAATGTACATAATGACACGAGGCGAGGGCGCACTTTATGATTATTGAGCAATGAATTAGCACAAATGAGGGGAAAGGTGTAGCTCGTTCACAAGCACTAGCAATTAGCCATGACAGAACCACTACAACAAATAAATGAGAACGAGAGTAATTTTGTCGAGCAGCAAATTAGCTCATTCTAGACAAGGGAAATCCACGTCGAGAGAAAAACATATTCATGACGTATCATTTCATGAAGCATAGCAGAAGATAAAGGTGGAGATTCCCAGTTTGCGAACGAAATAATTCGACGACTCTCGCGCGAGGATATTATCTCAATCATTTGCCCTTCATAACAAATCTAGAAATAATGTCGCAAAAATTACCTGACTGGCTTTGACGGCTGGAAAGAAAAGGTAAAGTACCTCTAACCACAATAGTTTCTTTTGTTGTTCTCAGCATCAACACATCGTTATGACGTCACTGGTCACTGCCATGAAGCAAGCGAAGATTATTGGCAGTACAGTCGATTAGTCTGCTGCACTGCAAATAGGTAGGACGCACCACCGCACACCTCTTTTAATCGAAAGAACTTGATGTATTTGTGGGTGAACTGCATAAAATGGGTTTGTGACTAAATTTTAAGGAAAAGAACATCAGGCCTCTGAGAGAAAGGCCGGTTTCATTGGGTGGGCAATGGAAGGGGCATGGCATCCTCTCCTGGAAGGGGAGTGCGGTCTTCAGGCGGTGGGCGATGTCCTGAAAATTACCAAGTTAGAGCACATATTCATGCTTTTGGTCTCGCTAGTTTATCTTAACTGCCCAGCAAACTCTTTGGATCCAACACCGCTGTGCAAAGTTTCCATTGGGGCGCTGCGACGTCGAACGACGGGAGCTTCCCGTTGCCGCAGGCTACCGCAGGCCGCCGTGTCGTCTGTTTGTTTGTTTTGATTCTTTATCTGCCATGCCCCTTGCATCGTTCAATATTGATAATTATTTTTCTTAAACATGTTAAAGGGCCTTTGGAATTAAAATTCATCTTTACTAGATTTTACGGTTATGTATAAATAAAGTCTGTAAAATTTCTTCACTTCCAGGTAAAGAACATTGACAAGTGAGTTAGCTACTTCCAATAGTAAATTAATTTAAATGGATCAGCAGCTGCAACAACAGCATGAACAACAGTGTGCAGGTGTATCAGAAAATTACATCTCACCAGCCTGGCTGTGCACTCCACACATAAAAGTGGAGAGTGACGTAGATGTTTACCGATGTCAGACTTCACTTTATGACTTAAATAATAGCCATCCGACCAACTGTGTTCCACAAAGCAATTCAACTTATGTCAATGGACCTACCATGAATTGTTCACCGAATGATTGCGGCACTAACAAAATATTGTCAGTGGGCCATGATAGTTCTACTTACCATGAACAAAATAATTTATCTACTGCTCAGCAGCCTGCCATTCAAGGTTTTGGTAACAATCAAGAAAGTGAAGAGAGGATGAAATTGAAGAATCAAGGCAATGTTGAATACCACCGAAAGCAAGCTTTTGATTTGACTTGCAGAAGTAAAAGCCCATCAAAAGAAGAAGAAAGCTCTAGCAGTGATTCTCAGTTAACTGTTGATGAGACTCTAAATGTTGAAGGGCAGACTAGATTTTCAACCAAAACAACATGTGAAATCTGTGGCAAAGTTCTATCTTCACTTTCTTCATATTATGTTCATATGAAAGTACATTCAGGAAACAAACCATATGCATGTACTTATTGTGAAGCGACTTTTTGTCGCAAACCCTATTTGGAAGTTCATATGAGGACGCACACTGGTGAGCGTCCGTTTGCTTGTGTCACTTGTAATAAGCGCTTCTCCCAGAAAAGCAGCTTAAATACTCACAAGCGAGTGCATACAGGAGAGCGACCCTACTCTTGTGATATTTGTCAAAAAACTTTTGCTGTCAAAAGTTATGTGACTGCTCATAGGTAAGTAAGCCCTTTTTTCGTTTAAGTAATCTTGCTAATATGTGAGAAATTTGAGGTGATCTTAATTTGTTTCCTCCTCAATTACCAGGTGGACCCACATTTCAGAAAAGCCACTGGATTGTCAACACTGTGATCTTAAATTTACATCAAAGAATCTGTTTAACCTGCATATAAGAACACATATCGATCAAAATCATGAATGTAATATTTGTGGAAGAACTTTCATGAAAGATTCATATTTAATTCGCCACCAGAACAAAGTTCATCGGGAACCAAATTTCCAGACTCACATCAATCAAGGTAAGTTATGATGTCTATTTTACAGAGATTCCCCTGTGTTTGAGATAAGATGATGAATGATGAGTAATGTACTTTGTTTCCTTCAGATCATTTGGTGTGTCCACCTGAGACTGACCCAACTTAAGAAACTCTCCAAAACTTTTGCTTTATCTCTGCTACCTACTATGTACTCAAACATATACCATTTAACATGTATTAGATATTGCAGTCAGTGGATGCCTGCTTTATATATGCTAACCTAGGATTTATAGGTAAATTAAAGTAAACAAAAAAACATTTGATCGAATTTTTGAAAAAGACCCTTATGCAATTCATGTTTGTTCCTAATATTTTCAGAAGCTACAAACCACCAGATGTTTGTCTCATAAGGGAACCAGCATAGTCTAAAGCAATTAGCCAATTTTTAAGAGTCAAAGGGGCTTTATGCAGATAAGACAAGTACAAGATACAGTATTTGTACATAGTATAAGACAAGGTACTCTTGGCACATTTACCTAAGCCTACAAAAAGAATCTTGAATTTTTAAAAACAAAGGAAACACAAGTCAAATCACAGGGACTACAATCAGTATTAATCAAACAATACGTATTCAAGTAATTACCAGTAGTTTTGTGCTCATAATACATGAACTGATAAAGTGCCCATCATGGCAATATTAGTGCCAACATTCCCCTACTAAAAAATTTGAAGGGCCACTATCACACAATTCAGCTGGGATTGACACAGACAACATCGTCATTTCTAAGTCACAAAAAAAACTGAGTGGGACAAATGTGAAAAAAAAAATTAACATTGAGAAGACAACTAAAAAAAGCAATCTGAATTACTTAAAAACTTGGAAAGTGAATAACACTCTACATATCAGCTCAAAAGCAAGTGAAGGATAAAAAGACAATAATGAGATGATTTGAGAGGACAGGAATATAACCGACATAATTCACAAGATATTCCTTGCATTGTTCACAAAAATAATTGGAAAATATTTTCTAAATCATTGTTTCACTTCTTCCATTTTCTTTTTAAGTGACTTCTCGAATACCTTTTTGGCATCACAGAAACCTTGCTTTGTTTTGCCAAAGGAGTTAGGCCCAGCAGATGTTGGTGTGTCTCTGGAAGAGTAAATCATTGTGAGAGCGAATGATGTATGTTACAAATGACATGCAATGCACCATTTTTAGTGGAAAGAACAATAAAATGTGTTCTGTGGCGTTAATCAGGCAGATGCTGATACTAACCTGCCAATATTTCTCATGCGCATTCGTGCTTCTGGAGGCATTTCTTCTACTTCATCATCGTCATCTACATTGAATGCAGCCGCAACAGTTCTTGAAGGAGCTTTTAAAGATGAAGATGATGATGACGCAGGTTTAGCAACACTCGGTTTCTGGAAATAAAAAAACAGAATTGAAGCAAACAAAATGCAGATAAAAGATAATTTTGAGCACAAATTACATGATTTCAATTAAATATACCTGAAATCCCAGCTTCATTTGAATTGACTTGGATGGAGGTCCGTCTGTTGGTTTACATACTGTTGGTTTCTGGCCTACGCCAAAGGCGAGTTTTGTCTTCTTCGGTGGTGAACGATCATCCTCCACATCTGACCCACTGCCATCGCTGTCGCTGTTGCTGGATGAGTAACCTAACAGCAAATACTGGACAAGTTGAGACAATGCTAAAATTAGGCCAGAGTGGGTCTGAAACCATTTCAAAGATTTTAAACAATCTCGGGTAAGTTTTGAAGGGTTCTCTCTTCGGACTCAAAAACTTTTTTGTTAAAACGTTCCTCACTTAACATGCTATTTACATTCAGAAAAAAATACAAAACGACGGCTGCCAAAAAGTGGATAAAACAGAAATTGGGATCGACTGGGACCGAATAGTCCTAAACGTATGAACATAACCTCTAAAATGAAACAAATAAGATGAAATCTCACCTGTTTCCCGTCTGCTGTATGAAGGTCGTTTCGACATCCTGCCTAGGAGTCTGTCGAAGGATTCCACTGACTTAAATTCTAGCTTTCTAGAATGAATTCCCTTCGGATACTGATCCAAAACCTGGAAAGAAACAGAACTCGTTCAGACGTTTATACACAAACAGTGAGAAAGCAGACGATTCCTGAGCTTCTGCAAACATTAAGCTCTGCTGATGCTTTTCGGTGGTTGGAATTACCTTCAAATCAGCTCAAATCCCACTGGTTTTAACCACGGACAGTCTGGAAAACGATTTTGTGATGAAGCGAACTTGACTACCAAAGCAAAAGCAAAGCGGCGGTAGCAGTAGCAGTAGTGGCGGTGGAACAGTGGGGAGAGATGCTGGCTGACTGGGGTGGGGGTGTCAAATGGGTGGACTACTCCCCGGGCGCTTCATCGCGCATCAGACGCACAAGTCGCCTATTTCCAGGCGATTGGTGCCAGGCAGTTGGGTTGCCTAACTGGTAGGCGCTCCGCAGAAAAGGAGGGGGAGGGGGAGCCTGTCGACCTCTTCTGGAGCCGCAATGGGGAGCAATGGAGCCGATTTTCACAAATAACTCAGAAAAGAGAGTTCTCAGAAAATGATGCACTCGTGTTTCCCCGCTCCAGCCTCCCCAGCCTCGCGGGTGGGGATGAAGCGTACTCTTCGATCCCCATCCCCTTCCCAGCGGCCCCAGCCCGGACAATGACAATCAATCCCACGAACAAGGCGGCGGCATCGAAATACATCGAAACGCCCGGATGGCTGGGTGCGCGCCGCGCGCCAGTGAGACGCCTGCCGAGCGACTCAGAAGATCGGTTTGTCGCTCCGTCTCTCTCGCACCCTTACGGAGAGCCCCATGAGTGCGAGAGAGACAGAGCGACGAAACGACTCTTCAGAATCGCTCGGAGAACAACAAGAACCGCCGCCGCCTCGACTGCGCCCCCTCTGATTGGGAAGCAATCGAAACGAAAGGGGAGGAGGGAGGGGAGGGGCACCGTGGCCGCTTATCGGGCACTTTGCGGCAATAAATGATGGGTTGGCTGTCGGCTGGCGCTGGCTTCGCCTGCTTCGCCGGGCTGGCCGCGCCCCGCGCCTCGCCGCTCGTGCTGGGGGCTCTGGGGGCCGACGGGACGGGCCGACGGGGCGGGTTGCTTTCCCACAGGCACGGCCGGCACGGCCCCGTGGCTGGCCCCGTGGCTGGGCCCGTGGCTGGGCCAGGCGGAATGTTGAACCTGCGTACCGTCGTGGCCGGGCGCGGGCCGGACGCGGGGGCGGCGGCGCTGTGGGAGCGTGGCGGAGCGTGGGGAGCGGCGGAGCGTGGCGGAGGGGCGGCTGGGGGCTATTCGGCGCCTCGGGGACCGGCAGGGACCGGCCAGCCGCACTCAAATGGAATTCCAGTCTTGGGTTTCTAACACCTGTTTCGTCGCTCTGTCTCTCTCTCGCACCCCTGCCGCAAGGGCGCGACATGGACAGAGGCCTCTTCGGAATCAGTGAGTCTGCTGGCCGGATGTTCCAACTTCGAACCAGCCGATCACACCCACAGCGCAGCGCACAGCGCCAAGAGCAACAAACAATCAACCGAACGGCGCAGGCGCCGCGTCAGCGCGTTTCCGGCTCACGAACGCCGCGAGGCTGCGAGGCCGCGCACGGCGCAGGCATAATTGATTTATCAGCCAGCCAGGCCGCATCCTTGCCGCCGTCCTCGCCCCCGCCGCCCTCGTCTGCGTCCCGGTTCTCATCTTGATGCTGTTCCTGCGGACCTGCGGACTGATTCCGAGAGTCGTATCGTCGCTCTGCCTCTCTCGCTCTCATGCGGCGTTGCGTGGAGGTGCGAGAGAGGCAGAGCGACAGAAATGACTCTCGGAATGTGCGCTCGCTGCCTTCGTTGCCGTCGTGGCCGTGCCGTACCGACTGGTGCTCCCGTGGGAACTGCCTGCGCGCTGCGCGTCTGCGATGCGCTGCCATTCCCCGCCCAGGTAGTAATTGCCTCACCGCCCGCGGCCAGCCGGCCAGCCTGGAGTCCAGGCCGACAGTGCCATGGAAGTAAAGGGCCCGAACGCGGCCCACGGCCTGCCCACGGCCTGCCCACGGCCCACTCATTCCGAAGACTGGGCGCTCTGTCTCTGTCGCACTCGTGGGGTGTCCCGTGAGAGCGCGACCACGGCAGGACCGAGGGAGTCGCTCGGCCCTCGGCTCGGCCCTCGGCTCGGCCCTCGGCTCGGCCTCGTGCGGGTGACTCATAAACGCACCCCGCTTCTCGTGCACTGGGGCCCGTGCGGTTCCGTCGCTCTGTCTCTTCGCGCCCGCTCGCCAGCTTCAGTGCGACGACGGAACGACTCATCGGGGTAAGTCTGGAGATTCGCAACCCAGATTGAAGATCGAAGCGCGGCTGGCACAATGTTTCGCCGTCCACAAAACTGGCGCGGGCCACCCAGCGCACAGCGGGCCGGAGACTCTGGAGGGCGGCCTGGAGAGCGGCCTGGAGAGTGGCCTGGAGGGGATCCGGAGGCTGGCGAGGCCCGGAGGCTCTGGAGACTGCAGCGCGGCGCTCTGCTGCAGTGAAAGGGCCCCGTCGGTTTCGTCACTGCACTGCAATCTCACGCCGATAATGAATTCCCCGTTGTGCGGGGTCTGTGTTGCGTCGCTCTGTTTCTCTCAATGAGTGTGAGAGAGACAGAGCGGCTACAGCGGCGTGCCGGCGGTGGGGGCGGGGCAATGGCTTCCGGGCACAGCGCAGCTAAGCGCAGCCAGTAGCGGCGCGGCGCGGTGCGGCCGCCTCGAGCAAAACAACGTAAAGCCGGTAGCAGTGGAGCAGTGGCGGGGCGGCCATGGCGGCGGCGCGCAGCCGAGGCAGCGGGTCTTGCCGGGGGGAGGCGCCGAGCGCCGAGGGCGCGACCGCGACGGCCGCCTGATTCTAAAGGACCGTCTCGTCACTCTGTCTCTGTCACACCCCTAAGGATCGCCGCAAGAGTGCGACAGAGACCGAGTGACGAAACGATCCTTCAGAATCGCTCGGCTGAGAGCGATCCAGCACATCGCGGTCGTCTCTCTGTCCCTCTCGCACCCCTGGAGGCCCTGGAGGCCCTGGAGCGTCCCGGAGGCCCTGGAGCGTCCCGGAGGCCCGCAGGTGCGAGTGAGACATGCGTCGCGCGTGTTGGTACCTGTTGGCGCGTGTGAAGCGAGGGGCAGGCCCGGCAGGCCATGGAACGGGTCGAAACGTGTTTCTCCACAGATCAGGCCCCGGGCCGCGCGCGGCCGCGGCCGGCCGAAACAATGAGAAACACTCGCACGCTGCTCAGAGCACTGCAGCGTCCGGAAGGCGGGACTGCAACATTTCGGTTTTAGAACGGCCAAGGCAGACTTCTTGCCCTTTACTTAGACGTTCACCGACCCCGTTTCGGCCCGCCTCCCTCAAACACACTCTGCCTTGCCTTCTGCTGGCGCTGCTTGCCAAACCAGTCATGAATAAGCCACCATGAAGCATGAGCCTTCTTCCTAGTCTGCTGCCCCCAGGATAGAGCAGTGGAGAAGGGGGGCTTGTAGGAGGCGGGGAGTCATCAGAGATGCCTTTCCTTTCCCTGCAGGAGGAGTGCGGCAAGCAGACCACCAACGGGGCAGCAACATCTCAATAGCCGCGTTGTGCGGGGAGAGAGGGAACCTGGAACGGCGTGCAGTGGACTGATTCCGCGCCGCGTCGTCGCTGTCTCTCTCGCACCTTCGCCGAGACCTTCGCGCAACGCCCCAAGTGCGAGAGAGACAGAGTGACGAAAGCGACGTTCGGAATCGCTCGGTCCGCCATGTCTTTGCCGCGGGCCGCCCAGAGAGGACGCCCAGCCCAGCAACTCGCGCCCTACCTTCGCAGCCCACGCCAGAGTGCTCCGCGCTGCTCCGCGTCTCCACCAAGTCCGGCGACGCCATGGCCGCGCTTGGCCGTGCCATGGCCGACGCGCCGACGCCCACCCCGCGGCCCGCGAGGCCCACGTCGCCGCCCCGCCACTAAAAGCCCTGTAATTTCCTGGCCCGAAAGTGCAACGCAGAGCAACGCCCCCCGGGTACCCCCGGGTGGGCCCCCTGGGCCCCGTGGGCCCCGTGGGTAGCCCACGCCCGAAGAAGTTCGAGGGGGCCTCCCCCGTGCTCCCGGCCGACTCTGCGGTGCGCAGTTCCCTCCCCGCGTTCTCAACAGAGTAGCTTCGGTATCGGGGCGAGGCAGAGGCGAGGCAGGGCGAGGCAGGGCGAGGCAGGGCGAGGCAGGGCGAGGCCCGAGACGTTACGAAACTTGAGTCAACTCGGTGCACCGAGTGCCGGCCGGCCGGCCCAGCCATGAAGCTCCATCAAGTCGTTTCTCATGGGAGTCCATCGAGGCCGGGGGGCTGAAGGGGTTCCCCGGTGGCCCGTGGCCGAGGCGGCGAGCGAGGCGGCGAGGCGAGGCGGCCCGGCGGCCGAGGAGGGGGCGGGGCCTGGCCGGGCCTGGCGGGCCGCGGCGGCGAGGCGGGGAAGGGTGCGGCGGCGGACGCAGGCCCCGCCCATCGAGCATCGCGACTACCGTGCAGTTCCCACGGCCGGGACGGGCTGGGCCGGGACGGGCTGGGTCGGGGCGGCACGGGTCGCGCTGGGAGGGGATTCTGCTCTGCTGCTCTTGAGATTGCCTCTCTCGCTTTACGACGATCCTTCCTCCTCCTCCTCCTCCCATTTCTTCTTCTTCTTCTTCTTCTCCTCCTCTTTCTCCTCTTCTTCTTCGTCTTCATGTTCTTCTTCTTCTTCTCCCCGCCGGCGGCGTGCCTTTGGGCAGTATGTGGTCCGCGACAGTGCCCATCCCGTCAGGGCCAAAGGCAGCCAAAAGGAAGGACGCCGCGGACACTAAAGTCCTGGAGAAATAGCCCACACCAGCGGGGAGCAGCGGGGAATACCGTTTCCGGCCTAGATGCCGCTCGTCTGCCGCCTCGGCCCGCCTCGGCCCGCCACGGTCACTCCGTCCTGCGCGTCCCAGTCACACGGGAACCGGGAGCGCGTGCGCTCAGCCGCACGCACCAAACCAAAAGAAACAACAACAAAGCAATGAGTTGAATTTTGTTTACTGAAAGTCTAAAAGCCACACAGAACCTAAAGACGGACGAGAAGAGTTTGCGGCGGCAGCGGCCGAGCCGAGCCGAACGCCGAGCCACAGGGAATGCCACGGCTTTTTCCAGTGCTCGTGTTCGGAGCGAGACCCGGAGCGAGACCCGGAGCGAGACCCGGCCCCGGCCGGCCGTGAGGTGGCGAGGATCGCGTAGCGATGCGTGCGTAGTGCGAACCCCTCGCCGTAAAGGAGTAGGTCCTTCCTTTATTTTGGCGTCACGCGTCCTGGCGTGTCCTGACGTGTCTGCACGGCCAAGAAGCAGAAAGAGGCAATCACCAAGCCCACCGGGGGGCTCGCTCACTTCGCTACCCGCGTCGCGGGGCGGCACGCCGTCCGCACGCCGTCGCGCGGGGGAGGAGGGGGATGCCCCACCGCACCCCGCCCCGCCCCGCCCTCACAGCCGGGCCGCCACGCCCTGCCACGCCCCGTCCCACCAGAGTGGGAGGAGCGCGCGAGGGCGGGGGCGCGGCGGGGGCGGGGCGGGGCGGGGCGGGGCTGGTGGGGGCAGACCGGCCTCCCTGAGTGGCTGCCGCTGCGCGCCGCGCGGGGCGTGGCGGGGCGTGGTGGGGCGGGGTGGGGAAGTCCTGCTCCAGAGGTTCGCGCCGGTGGGTCGAGCCGAGCCGCGCCGAGCCGAGCCGGGCACGGGGTCGGCGCGGGGCCGGGGCGGGCCGAGCGGGCGCAGACGGAAGTACCCATTGAGATGGTCACTGAGTGCTTTGAGCTCGGCAGCGACACAAGAACCTTACCGGCCGTCAGCCAACCAGCAGCGCCCCAGCCAGGCAGCGGCAGCAGCAGCAGCAGCGGCAGCAGTAGCAAGGGCTGCAGGGGTAGCAGGGGCACACATCGCAGAGGTCTGCTCGTTAGTCAAGACCAGACCATCCTGCGGGACAGCGAGTAGAGATCCAGCCAGCCAGCCAGCCCAGCCAGCCAGCCAGCGACAGCGCCAGCGCCGTGCGCGACTTGTTCAACCAGGGATACTCCAAGGTAAGTCAGTGACTGTGCGATACTCGTCAGTGTGGTCCGTGTGCTCCGCGCGTCGTCGTCGGGTCCCAGGCCGTGGTCCAGGCTGTCCAGGCTGTCCAGGCCCCGCGCGCCGCGTTCTCAGTGAATGAGTTCCTCGACGCAGTGAGTACGCGGTACGCAGTCCCGGTGCCCGCGCTCGCGGTGACGTCCCGCGTCGACGGCGCCCTGGCCGGCGCCTGTCCGCGCGTTGACGGCGTCCTGGCCGGCGCCGCGGCGCGCGACCCGCTCCATCCAGCGGTCCATTCGTTAGACCCTGCAGTGTAGTAAAACCGGCCAGCCGGCCAACAACCCAACCGTCGCTGGAAAGAATAAAAACGACAGTTTCGGCGAAACTGCCCCGCTTGGCTGGCCGGAGTCTGTCTGGAGAAGTGCGCGGCTCGCTGGAGCATGGCTGGAGCACGCTGGAGCGCGCGCCTCTTCCAACTCGCCTCGTTCTGCGTGATGAGTAGCGAATTCCGACTGCAGGTCGTTTTGGCCGGCCTGGTGGAGCCTGGCGGACCGCCCTAAGGAGCGTGCTGTATTTCGTTTCCCAACGGAAGAGGCCGGGCCGGCGGGTCGTTTTGGCTTTGCCGCGGGTTATACCCGCCCATTACGCGCTACTTTGCTGCTTTAGCACTCGCGTTTCCGCTCGGGCAGCACGCCGCCGTGCCGCCGACCATGGCGAAACTCCCTGGCGCCACGGCGACTGCCTGGCCCGAGCCACGCGACGGTCGTGGGTTCGAATCCTGACGGTGTCGGTGCTGTTTGCATTTTTCCGAAGCTGGCCCAAGCTTGGCGGCGGGCATGCCTCGCGATGACGCATCCCAGAATGCTCATCACTTAATTAATTTGGGCGCCCTTGCCTCGCCGCCCTCGCAGCGCCTCGCCGTGACAGCCTAATGAGCGGCCAATTTATTCACTTTATTCACGTAATAATGAAATAATGGCGCGGCCGGCAGCCCGGCAGGTTGGTTCGTCGCTCTGTCTCCCTCGCACCCCCACGGAACCCCACGCAACGCCCCGCGAGCGCGAGAGAGACAGAGCGACGAGAGCACCATTCGAAATGAGGCCGCTCCCACCGCGGTGCACCGCCCTCCTCGGTTTTATGGCGAGGACGCGTCGGCCAACACGTTCTGCTCCTCTACTCGTGGAACAGCGCGTTAGAGCGTCGCCTGGGAATCGCACTCTCAAACGGCCGTGCAAAAGGTACAAAACTGTTTTCGGATTCTCGCATTATTCGTGAAACCTTTTGGAACCGCCCCGCCGGCCGGCCTGTCCGCCGGCCTGTCCGCCGGCCGGCCTGCAGCAGGACCCCTAGTGAGAACCCCTTATGAGGGCGGCCCTCAGGGACCCTGCTGCCGCGGTGCTGCCGCGGTGCTGCCCCGGTGCTGCCCCCTGCCGGCTCGGTGCGGAAACCGACAAAGCTAATAGCCCCCCGCCCCTCGCCCCCGCCCCCCGCCTCGCGGTCGTTTCTTGAAAGTGTGCCGTGTCGCTGCGTTTCAAAAATAATGATAAAAGCCATGATAAAAACAACCAAAATTAGCGTCCGCTCGGAAAGTGCGCGCAACTCGGGGGGCCCGTGGCGCTGGCAGCCAAGAAGGCGAGGGCACTTCTTTTTGGCCAAGAAGCGACTGCAAGTCCAGCCGCTCCGCTGCGTTCCGTTCGGCGAGGCGCGGCACGGCGAGGCGCGGCACGGCGATGTCCACCGCGGGGGGCTGCCCTCTTCCTTTCCAGTGCCGCCGCATCGCCTCTCTTTTATTACACTAATTCCATTTCTCGCTGTAATTGCGCGCCACGAGTGCGGGACGTCGTGGAACACACAGCTGGCGCACTGCTGGCGCTGCGGCCCGATTCCGAAGTCGCTCCGTCTCTCTCGCACGCACGGCGCCGCACGGCGCGAGCGCGTGAGCGGAGAGGGAGCGCGAGGCGCGGTCCAGCCCGGAGCACGCCGTGAGCACGCCGCCGGCGGCGCGCCTCCCGTTTACTGACCCATTGTCAAAGACAAAACGGCATGGCGGTCGCGCGCGCTCTCGCTCTCTCCGCAACCCCCACAGACGCGCGCGCTCTCTCGCTCTCTCCCGAACCCCCGACAGCGCGACCGTAAACAGCGCACTCTATAAACAGCGCGCCTCCGACCGACCTTGTCCTTGCGTCGTTTCCTCTTCTCGTTACAACTGATTTTCGTTCGGCATTCCTCTTGGCGGCCTGGCCGTGGAGGGGTGGGGTGGGAAAGGGAGGGGGGGGGCGTGGTGGGGTGCAGTGCGGTGTCCGTGGAGGGCGGCCTAGTCGATGACGCCGCGGATCGAGCCGAAACCATGTAAACCAAACCGAGAAGCCAACAGGGTCATAAACGTCAATACAGATATCGTAATAACGCGGCTAATTGTTAAACGGCCGATGGCCGCGGGGCGGAGGGGTAGAGAGAGAGAGAGAGAGAGAGAGAGAGAGAGAGAGAGAGAGAGAGAGAGAGAGAGAGAGAGAGAGAGAGAGAGAATAAATGAAACGCTCTGCTCTCACGGCCGGCCGACAGGACAGCGCGTATTATTTTTCCACTAGAGGAGCAATTGATGAACAAATTATCCGAGGCACTGGCCGCACTGGCCGCGGCGCCGGACTGGGTCTCATCTCTCTCACACCTCTTTGGAACGTCCAGAGCGAGAGAGAGGAAGCACTAGACTCCGACTGCTGGGCTTGCTGTGTTTCCCGTGGCCACGTAACACTCCCGCCAGAACCCCGCGGATAAAAAGACCGCTGAAAGAGGTTGCGGGGGATTTGAACCCACGACTCTCCACGGCAGCCAGCCGAGCCTTTTACGCAGAAAACGTTCCTTTTGGGACGTTTCCTGCCTCTCTCGGTTGTATCAGATCGTGGGGCCCCGTGTGCGACTCCACTGGCTGGGCAGCGAGGCACGGCTCCGCTGCTCCGCGTGTGCGTGATTTTCTTTGTCGGCCCCGAAAAAGGCAGCGAGGTCCACCTGTGTGTGTGCCTGTGTTTGCGCCCGTGGGAGTGTGTGTGTGTGTGTGTGTTTGACGTCGAGGCACTGTGTGTGACCCCCGCGCCGCGCCCCTGCTCTTCTTGGCGATATCTTATCAAGCCTAGTCCTAGCAAAGGACGCTGCTGCTATCAGCACGCACTAAGGACGTCTCAGGACCCGGCCGGCCGCCCCCGCCGCCGCTTTTAGAACGCCCTGTCAACAAAAGTAGGGCGACTGAGGCCTTTGCGGCGAGTGCCGCCGCAGACGCCCGGGCGCCCCCCGCCCCACCGCCGGGCTCTCTCTCGCACTCGCAAGCGCCGGAGTGGAGGTGCGAGAGAGACAGAGCGATGTGGTTTGGAGTCAACTCGCATGCCTTCGTCGGGTCGACAGTGGCGCAACATTGCGCCAGCGCGGCGGGGGAAGTTTTCGCGTGCCGACTCGAAGCCCACTGAGCGAGGCCCACTGAGTGAAGCTCCTTCGGCACGCCACGCTACGCCACGCTACGCCACGCCACGCGCGTGCGTGGACGCGTGCCGCCACAGCAGGCCGTGCCGGCCGTGCCGCACTCGGCCCGTGCCGCCCCGTGCCGCCGTCCCTGGCCACCACGCCATTTCCCAGGCGGGGCTTGGACTGGAGCCCGCCGCGGGCCAACAGACCGACTCCGAACAAGCAGCGTTTTGTCGCTCTGTCTCTCTCGCACCCCTGCCGAGCCTACCCGAGCCCTGTGAGTGCGAGAGAGACGTGGCACTACTCGGCAGCAGCCTGCTTCGGGACGCACGCGATGCGCGCCTTGCGTGCGGCAACGCCAAGGCAGAGCCAAGACAGCAAGGCAGAGCCATAAGACGACGGTCGTCCCTTTGTCACCGGCGTGACGTCACGCTCTGAAACGACGCTCCGAAAAGTCGGCCCGGTTTTACAGCGTAGCGCGACTTACTGGTGGCCGAAACAAAAGGCAATATCGCGCCGCTGCGCCGGACGGCCTGCAAGGCTGGGCCGGAAGGCCCCCGTCTCGCTCTCTCTCTCGCACTCACGGGGCGGCCTGTGTGAGTGCGAGAGAGGCAGAGCGACCAGTCTGTGGACGGTCCGGCCGGTGACTTATGCCCGCGTTGGCTGAGTCAGTACCCCCGCGGGGCCCCGGGCCGCGCCACGCCGCCACGCCGCCACGCCCGTGGAAGCGCGTGGGAGCGAGCCGCGCCGGCCCAGCTGACGCACACATCGCCAGGGGCGGCCAGGGGCGGCCAGGGGCCAGGACGGGCTGGAGCCGGCAGGGCGGGGTGAGGCGGGGTGGGGCGGGGTGGGGCTCCGCGCTGCGGCCTGGGAACGTCTGGCGGGCTGGGCTGGACCTCGCGCTGGACGGAGGCCAGGCCGAGCAGGAACCGCTCGGGGCGAGACTGGCGAGACCGCGAACAAGGCCGTCATCGTCCTGATGATGTTATCGCGGAGCTGGCGCTGCTGGCGCGGTGCGAGGCGGTGCGAGGATGCCGCTCGCATTGACAGTGGGGGCGACGAGGCGGACCCAAAGCGGACGTGACCGCCACCGCCGCGTCGCGCGCGTCGCCCACCAGCGCGTCGTCGCTCTGTCTCTGTCGCACCGCCGCGCTCCGCGGGACGCGAGACTGGGCCTGACGGACCCGACGGCGCGGTGTCCCTCCGCGACGGTCACGGCCACCTCGTGCCTAGGCGGGGCAGGGCGGGGCAGGGCGGGGCAGGGAGGGGCCGCCAGCGCTCTGCCGCTCTGCACACCACGCCGTCAAACTCACCGCCGCGCGAAAAATGTGGCCACAAACTCGGCGCGGAGATTTGAGAGTGCTCCGTGTGCGGCTGTGCCGGGCTGCGCGGCGACGGCCGCCATGACGCGAGGCACGTCGCCGCGTCCCTCGTCAAGGCGTCAAGGCCCAAGATTTATGCGTTCGTGTCTCCGACAATGCCAAGGCAGTGCCCGGCACAGTGCCCGGCGGGGCGGGCGGGACTCGGTGCAGCGTGGCGCGTACGGCGCGTACGGCGCGTACCCGCAGCCAGTAGCAGGCGGCCGTGCGTTGAATGCAATGGAGACCCTCCCCCACCACCGAGGCCGCGGTAAGCGAGGCAAAGCGTGGCGTAGCCCGGTAGCCACTTCCTCCCCCGGTGCCCCCTCCACGCCCGCCACGCCCCGCCACGCCCCGCCACGCCCCCCGGCAGCGTAACGAGAACCAGTAGCGGCGCCGCGCCGCGCACTCGACGTAATGGAGGCCGTCCCCCACTCCGACAGCAGGCCGGCAGCACGCCGTCGGCGTAACTCCGGGGCCGGTAGCCGCAACCCACTGGTTCACACCGCCTAGGCGTGGCGGCGAGGCGCATGATCGCCGTCTCATGCATCCCGGACGCCGGAGGCCCCTCGCGCCCCACACCGCCCCGCCACGCCCCGCCACGCCCCGCCACGCCCCGCCACGCCCCGCCACGCCCCGCCACGCCTCCTCGGCTTCCGAACACGCGCCTTCTCATCTCTCTGCTAATTGTTCCATAATAAGACCGGCAGCCTCCGCCGCCCGGGGGGCTCGGCCTCCTCGGCCCCGCCCCGAACGGGTATCGCCTCGTTGCTTCACTGCCGGCCTTGTTATACACGGCCACAGTGCAGCAGCAGCGAAGCAGCGGCGTGATGCGGCGCTCCAAAAAAAGAGGCTCATTTGTTTTCGGGGCGGCATGACCCCGACAGTGCATACGTGCGGCAGGCGAGATAGCCGGCAATAAGATGACCATCAGCATCACTGCAAGGCCATCGCACTTTTAATGAGGCTTAAAAGAAAGGGAAGAGAAAACAGGAAAATAGTCTAAACGCCGGCGAGGGTATTTGAACCCGCGACCCCGTTCTTGTGGCACCCGCGTAGGCTGGATTTCTCTCTCCCCGCTTTGCGTATCGCGCCATCGCGACCGCCCCCGCCTCCTTTACGAGTCAATTAAATTAAACAGTGTGCCGCGCGGTCGCGGGGCCCCGCCAGGCAGTCGCCAGGCAGTCCGCCACTCACTCGGAGACTCGGGGGCGTTGCGCCTGCAGGCTGATTCCGGACAGAGTGGCTTCGTGGCGCGGCCTCTCTCTCGCCCTCGCCGTGCGCACCATGAGTGCGAGAGAGACAGAGGCACTGTGTGCCGTTGGGCCGCAATCCAGCGCGGCCGGCCGCGGTCAGTGTTGATTGGGCGGCGGATGGAATTCCCTTCAGATGGAACACAATGGGAAGGCGCGGGCCCCGCTGCTGGGCACCCCGCGACCAGACGAAGGCCTGCCTGATTATGACGTCATCGGATTGCCGTGGCCGATTGGACCCCCTCAGCGCTGGCCGGCCGGCCCGTTTACACACCGCTTTAAAATAATTGTAGCGATGAGTACTCCCCCTGGAGGCGGCACCACCGGCGGCCACCTCTGAATACCATAACACCGCGCCCACCGAGAGGTCCGAGAGGTCCGAGAGGATCGGGTTGCCGCCGAAGCACCGCCGACCCGCCGCCGACACGGCCGACCCGACGACGACCCGCGTGGCCGTGGGTTGTTGTCGGGCAGGTCCGCGACGTCGGACGCCGCGCGGTTCGAAATTTAACGAGCATGGTTCGCGTTTTACGCGGCGAGAGAGAAGGGACGCTAGCGCGGGAAAGCCGAGCTGGACGTCGGCGAGCACGCGCCGCGTGTAGTACTCGGCGTGTCCGCCGCGGGGCGGGGCGGGGCGGGGCGGGGCGGGGCGGGGCGGCCCACACAGCGCGGCGGCGCAAGAAAGGACTCAATGGCGTAGGCAGGTGACAGCGCGGCGCGGTCGACAACATGAAAAGACGGCCGCCGCCGACGAGGACGGCCGAGGACGGCCGAGGACGCGGCCAGCTAATAGAGTGACTCTGGCCCCCCGCGGGCCGTGGGGCCGTGGGGCCGTGGCGGTGCGGCCAGCGGGGACACAGGAGGCCCCCGTCGGGGCTCAGCGACGTGGTTCAAGTCGGATTCCTGTGTTTTTATTCCTCTTTTCAAATGCGGCTGCCCGCGCGGCCCCTCAAGGAGGCCGGCAAGGTGGACGGGTACTTCGCGGTGCTCGCGGCGAGGCGGCTTTGGCCTGTGCTTTGGCCTGTGCTTTGGCCCGCGGGGGCGGCCGCGGCTAGTCGCGCCAAAGCGGGAATTGGACAAAAGGACCACCTACGCCGCCCGAGGGGCCAGGGCGGCCAGGGCCCGGGGCAGCCGGGGCCGAGGGGCCGAGTCCAGCGGCGGCGACCCTGGGAGAGGGCGAAACCCCGGCCAGAAAAGGAACATAATAAAAGCCAGTCAAAAGTAAAAGGCAGAAAGTGAAGAGTGAAGACATTTTATGTGGGAAACGACGACCACTTGGCCAGGAGAAGTTATTCCCGAAGCGATATTAATATTGCCATTGGCCAATTATGCACGGTCATCAAAGCAGCTTTGGGAGACGTTACAAGTCGTACTTTACACAGTTACGCCGTTTGCCTCGGGCCGCCGGTCTCCAGGCCCAGCCAGGCCCAGCCAGGCGAGGGTCGGCCGGCCGTTCTTGGCGGCAATGCAAGGCGAGGCGGCCAAGCGACACACGGAAATGTTTTGACCGGGGTCCGATGTGGTCCGATGCGACCGGCCTCGGAAGGACGGTCCTCGCCCATGTCCTCGCCGGAGTCGGCGGGACCGTCTCGTCCTGCTCAAGGCGAGCACTGTGTGGCGGTGCTTCACCCAAAATTCGGCTTTGCACTTCGCCATAAAAGACTGTTAGCTATAAGGACTTCGAAATTATCGCTTCGAGAAAATAGACATTCCGATCGCCGTTTATCCAGCGCAGTGCGATTGCTGACGGAGGATTTTTCGTTGATCAATTTTAGCCAGTGCTATTTTCCCGACGCGAATCGTTTCACTGAAAATCTAAAGGCCACTTTCTCGCCACTCCAGAGGCGAGACACAAATGTTTGCCCCTTTACGTAGTGGTCAGACTTTTTGGTTTGACAAACTTTTGGCCCGAGCTTTCAGACCTGACTGAAACGTGGCACGACTTTTTCGCCTTATTCTAGCGTACCATTCAATTTCCAGTGTGCTCCCTCTGGGCCCCTCTCAACTTTTGCGAATGCGACACACAATGTGCATTGCTCGGTCGGCGATGATCAAGCCCACCCGCTTGATGCGGCGTGTCCTGCAGTCCTGCGCGGCGCAGTGCGGTTCCTGGAACCTCCTGGAACGCGCCGTCAAGCCCCTGGAGGCCCTGGAGTCTGGCTGGAGGGCGCTGGCAGGGCGAGGTTTGGCGCGGGCGGGCGGGCGCGGTGCGGCGTGTGAGAACTCGTAAAAGTTACCGTGATGGCCCTTCGATGGAAGGAGGCGCGCTGTAAGCGCTGTAAGCCTCGGCGACGCGGCGAGGCGCGCCCCGGCCGTGCCGAGGCACTGGACAAGACACACCGCCGGATTAGCGCGTGTTAAAAGACGTGACACTGCGACATCTCCTCGCGTTACATGCATGGTTAGAGACGGCGAGAGAGTGTGTCTGTGTGTGTGTCTGTGAGTGCGCGCGCGCGTCGGAGAAGAGCCTTCACATTTGTCAAGCTATGCGCGTGGTGACAGTCTGCGGTTCCGTCCATATGTACTGTTGGAGCACTTACGCTCTACTGGTTTCTCGGACGACGACGGCGACGACGGCCAGCGGAGGGAGCGAGATAGAAAATAAATTAACGCAAAAGGGGGGGAGCCGGGGAGTGTGACGTGTCACGGCTATACATTGTAAGGCGCTGACGCAATGCCGGGGGACGAGAGAGACATTTACAGTCTGTTCGAATCGTATTAAACTCGGGGTCGCGACCGCAGCGCCCAGTGGAGGGGGGAGGGGGCCCGCCGGGCGCGGTGCCTGGCGGCTGCCTACGGCTGGCGGCTCGGGCGGGGCGGCTCCGATGAGCGACGTATATGACGTATCAATAATGCTGGCGGCACCCTCATTTCACGAGCGAGACAATGCGAAAGCGAACGACGGCCTATCGATCTCTCGAAGCGCGGCCGGCCGGCGAGATTCAAGATTCGAATTGAATCTCAACCGCCAGAATAATTTTATTTGGGAAAACAGCCTTTTCTAAACTGTTGCTTCCTTCCCCTGTTTCAGACGGCCGGCACCATGTTCGCCATCATGCAGGTGGAGACGGACGAGCGGAGGGCAGAGTTTCGGCGCAAGATGCGCACCAAGTGCGAGTTCATCTGCAAGTACTGCCAGCGCCGCTTCACCAAGCCCTACAACCTCATGATCCACGAGCGCTCGCACAAGGACGACGTCACCTTCACGTGCGAGGCGTGCGGCAAGACCTTCAAGAGGCAGGACAACCTCAAACAGCACAGGTGCGGTTGCTCTCGCACACGGGTGCATATAAATGACAGCCCCGGGTTCGAATACCACCTCCGAAAGGCTTCAATCTTTTTTTTTCGTGCTTTTTTTTCCACCCTCAATGAGGCCGTTCCGTCCGTGTTTCCTGCAGGCACCGCACCTTGAGTGAGTGGTAGCACTTTAGTTGGGCCCCGCCTTTTATGGTGCACAGGGATGTTTGTTTTGCGTTGCCTTGGCCCATGGCCCTGGCCCATGCTGCCCATTGCTCGGCCAGTGCTCGGCCAGTGCTCGGCCAGGAATGTGATGAGGTGCTATAAAGGCATCGGGCCTCGGGCCGGCCGGCCGCGACGCGACGCGTGTCGCCAACACTGTTGTGGCGACATAACTCTGACGCGAGTGACGCTGTCGCCGCTTAGCCTTGCCTCGCGAGGTGCGTTGCCTGAAGGAAGCGGGCCTTTTTGCTCGAGGCGCACTCCTCTAAGTGTCATTCCATGTCATGTGCTTCTAACCCATTTCTTCCAGCTTTGGGCACTGTACATAAATTCCTGGTGGTTTGTGTTCACTATTAATCCCTGTTAACCAATAATTCCTTTGCTGCCCTGTCGGGGCCGTTGTCTCCGCCGTTCGGCAGCACAGGCATCTCTTTTCTTCAGGTGGAAACGAGTTTTTTCAGCGCTTTCCCGCTCCCGCGATCCTTTAAAGCTTCTCCAGAAACAGTCCGCCTAGAAGGGTTTCAAATCACGTTAAACTCGATTATAGAGGGCTCGCGAGGCCGCTATAGTGGAAAAATTTTTCTCATAGCGGCAAGACTGGTTAAAAGGCGCGGGGTGGGGGAAGCACAACCGTGGTGTTCGCCTCTACTAAAAGACGTCTCATTTCTGTCTGTCCAATAGATGTGGGTGGAGCTCTGGTGGGTGGAGCTCTGGTGGGTGGCGGTGAGGGGTGTCTTGTCGGGACTTGCCACCACTGATAAGACTAACTGTAAGCAAGCACTTATTCCCTCACGATAATTACATAGCTTAAGACTTAAGACTTAGATTAGGATTACGGAAACTCGCGTGCAAGTTTGTTGAAAAACAAACGAAAAAAAAATAACAGAAAGAGAAAGGAAATTAGAGTTGCATATTTGGCCCTACTTTATACTAGTAATAAAGAGACTTGCCTTTCTTCTGACAAAATTTTCCAAGCTTTTTCGTTGTTTGGTTTCGCTTCATTCCTTACTGCAAGTATTTGCTGCACTCACCCATTAATATCACTGCATGTCTTCACTTCTAAATTTATGCCTAACAATAATTTTGGCCGAACGTTTCAATCCGTGACTCACTTTATAATAATTACTTTTTAATATGCATCTTATTACATTCAGAAAGCAGTGGCGACAATCGGTGGACTGGGCAGCCGCCGTTCTCACGTGACCGTTGGAAGCTGCCTACGCCACTCGCTGTTGTCTGCTGCCGGCGACTTGTCGAGTACTAACAGTGTGTCTGTGTCCACAGATCTATTCACCTGCCGTGTCGGACTGCCACCGGCTGGACAGTGAGGGTCTGATCCGAGAGGGCCACACGAGCGACGCATCGTCCTTTAAATTATTTTTCATAGAGTTACTACATTTTTGGGTTTTTTCTTTTGCCTTAACTGTCTGACCACAAGCACACGAGCAAGTGAGTGTGTTGTGATAACTTTTTCAGTCCGAGTTCTGTCTGATTTTTTTCTAGTAGATAAGCGTAATATACTTTATTTTACGTTTTATGCGAAATAACACGCATCAGTTGGAACTGCTCACCGCCATTGCATTCATCATTGACTGTGTTTGTCTTGAAATCATTATTTTGGGAATGCATTGTGCATGGGTTGTTTACTAGGGTGATATCGTCATTGTTTTTGGACACTTGCGCAAGGAAATTTTTAATTTTGACGCATATTTTTTTGAATTACTAGAAAAGGCGAATATATGAGTTACCACTATTTTGATTACGTATGTCTTACTAGACGCACTACATAACTGATTAGCTATTGATCTCCTGCACCCTTAATTGACGGAGTTCCTCGAAGCTTTTTCGTTCCTTGCCTAAGTTTCCGAATAAGATGAATTCTAGTCTAAATGCTAAAGCCACTCAAATGGCTGTTTGGGATCAAAATGTGCACTTACGTCTTTGAATTGTCAGGAAATGAACTATGTATGCAAGACAAAAAAGTATATTACAGTGAATCAGATGTCACTAATGCAGCTTTGTCATGTCAATTAAGAAACCTTGTTTAAGATTAGATTTATTTCAGATTTGTTTAATGTGTACATAGTTTAAATATATGTTATCGCCTAGATATTTGTATTTTGTACATACGGTAGTATAACGACGAGTCATGCGTACTCTCCCTCACTGATTCAATGAATTGTTACTTTTGCAGTCCCCCTACATCCATTTGAGCTTTGTTGTTTTCAAGGAGTACGTGTGGTTGGCGTTCAGTACAGTTCTTGTTCTTAGTACCAGAAAGAAAAATCACAGACATAAAAATTATTACGACGATTTCTTGAAAGGTGTCAGGAACTACGAGCTTATTTTTAAATCAACTGGACGCTTCGATCTCTCGAAATCTGTTGTTTAAGTGTTATAGTTTAGTTCTTTCTTGTTTGTGCTAGTGTTTTAAGTAAAGCTTCATGAGCTTGTTTATTCTTCTTTATTTAATTATTTCTGTTTCTATCGTTTTTCTGTTTCTACATGAAAGAGTGAAAATCTATTCTTCATTTCAAAGAACTTTCACGTTATTATTGCTTTTTTATTGTGTATATCAAACGCTTTTATTTTAAGGCAAACTTACAAACTATGCCTTCGTTGAAAAAAAATCTTATTTATTTTTACGTAACGGACAAGTATAGTGTTATATTACATGACTGATGTGTGTATGTGTGTATGTGGTTCGAATGAATGGAAAATAAACATTCATGAATGTTTTTAGACATACGATTTAATTTTTTCTGCGCCCTAAACAACCCTTTCATAAATGAGAACACAACTGGGAAAATATAATAAACGGGTTGCAGAAACAACGGAAGATAGGCACTTGGGAGTGTTTGGCTACGCCACTGACAGTGTGGAATGCACGCAATGCCAGTGGAGCCGCAGATCAGCCCCAACGGAGAGGGCGCTGGCACGCAAGCTAAAGGCGATGATATGAATGGAGCGGGCCACACCACCCGGGGCCCAACCAGGGGCCCGACGCCAACTGAATGAGTTCACACTTCTGCCCCTCACGCGAGCCGCTCTGGCCACTGACCGCACTCAGTCGGACACGCCGGCCGACAAGGCGGCCAAGGCGGCGGCGCGGTTTCGCCGCAAGGGTCCCGATCTAGAGCCTCGACCACACGTATGTGTTTTGTGGTCCAGTGTGAGAAATCGCTCGGCACGCGCGGCTGCAGCGTCCCAACCACGCTTTGCGGGGTAAAACACTCGCGGCTTACGCTTGGTTCACCGCACGGCGCATGCAGTATCTCTCCACGACGCGCAAAATTTAAATTTATTATTTCCGGTCGGGATGAGCGAGTCATGAAGCGGCCGTGTGTGTGTGTGCGCGCGCGCAGAGCGGACATGTCCGAGCTCCATGTCAAGATGGGACAATAGGCCGCGTTTCCGGACGGCGAATGAGCGAAGGCCCGATGGGGCACAGGCACACCGAGGGGCCCCGCAGACTGATTCCGAGATTCGTTTTCGTCGCTTCTCGCACCCAAAGGAGAGGCTCCGAGTGCGAGAGAGTCAGAGCGATCTGCTGGAGGGGCCAGAGGGAAGGGCGGCGTGGCCCAGACACGGCGGGGCAGGGCGGCCTCTCTGATAAATGTGGGTGGATCGATCCTTTGTCTTTGCCGGGACGTGTCATCCTTTTTGCATGTCACGCCGACTCTACCGGGCGGATGTGTGTTATGGATATGAAGAGGAAACGGAGTCATTTTCGAACCACGCCGCGCAAGCATCAAAGTACCTCGACAGGCACGAACCCATACCGCACCACTCGCATTCTGGTTTGGAAATGGAATAAAATTTGATTCGATTGTGACGCCAGGGCGAAAACCTTGCGCACTGCAAGCAACGCGAAGCAACGCACCCAATCGGACGTCACGGTAACGGAAGCCAATTGCCAAATCGAACTTGCTGCTAAGCATAAATTGTACCTCGCAGGCTTGACCATACCGTTTCACGTTTGTTGGAAATGCTCTACTGCGGGTTTGTTGTGACGCCAGGGCAAAAATCCTAGCAGTGCCCGAGTGCGAAGCAACGCCCCAACGGCGGTCTGGAAAGGAACCCAACTCCCAAAAACGAAACTTTTGGCTGTTGCAGACATTGTTATGGCAGGACTTGATGCTATAATATTGTTGTCACTGTTGTTAATGGCGTCGCTCCTACTGCGGGCCTTTTGTCTCTGAGTGAATAGTAAATCACAAAGGAGTGGCCCGAGTGCCAAAGTGACGCCCGTGAAAAATTGAATTAAATTGACTAAATAAGTTTTTTGTTCATTTGCAAACTGAATTTGTTATCTTGTAAGCCTAATAAATCTTAATTAATGAATAAATGGCTTACAAAGTAAAATTTTTAAAATGAATTAATTAAAAATAGTTAAGTGTCAAGTTGAACAATTAATTAAACAAAATTTACTAAAACTATCCTATACAAGTTTTAATTGGTCACGAGGTCAACCCGCTTGTTTCGGGATCCTTTTTGAATTCTGTTTTCGAGCTTGAAGGGCATAGCGCACGCATTGTCGGCGGGAGTAGGAGGACTAACCCGTGCCGGACGGTCTCAGACGTAACACGGTTAAATGACTCTTAAACGGGGTCAAAGGGGGCAGGCCAGGCAAGGGCGTGAATACCCACAACGCGAACCCACACGGCGCGTCGCTTTGATACCGTCAAAGTGTTGAAGTGCGGCGCGGCCGGCGCGGCCCCTCACAATACCGACTCACAAATTTATCATACTTGACAACGACGCCCGACCCGGGTCCCATTATTCAGCTATTAATCACCGTGCCTTCGCGCCTCGCGCCGTCGGCGTTCGCCCAAAGGGTCACTCCCTGCCGCCCTTCGGCCCCGGCGGCCCTTCACCGCGTGTTGGTTCTGGACCTGCTTTCGGTCTGACCCGACGCGTCACCGACGGTTTATAATTTGACCCAGCGCTCTTCTTTTTACTCCACGTTTTTTTTCGCCTTGCTCTGAAGAGGTGTGAATGCGTGTCCTTTGATCTGAATAAGGGTACGGCACGTACACCTACGAATGTAGGACGTTTTGTTACCCCAACAAAACGTGTAGGGCGACAAGGGCCCAAAAGGGTCCCCATTATGTTGTATGTGGCACCATGTGGCCCTATGGCGGGTCGGTTTAGCCGGCTTATGATGATAGTGTTGTTGTCCGAGGCCCCGTGTGAACTGCCCCGGGCCCCACGCCCCCTGCCCAGGGCACTGGCCAGGGCACTGGCGTGGCCGCCCAATTACCAGTGACATTGTCTCGTCATTAGCAAACAAATCGGATTTATTCGACCCACCGGCCTGACCTGATCCACAAAGCCAGCGGCAGCGGTGCAAGGCTTGGGCCACTGTCGCCGTGTGAGCGATGGAACAGCAACAACAACAAGGCCGACAACAAACAACAACATTCGCATCCCGGCCGCGCCAATAAGACACACAATGGTGGATGTGGGTTTGTGGGTTGACTTCCGTGAAGGAGTTGAATAGTCAGGAGAAAGCCGGCGGGGCGGGGCGGGGCGAGGCGGGGCGGGGCGGGGCGACAGGTGGCGCGGCACCGCTAATGATTTCGAGTCGAACCGCAGCATATCCATTTGCCAAAATAAGGTGTCCGTCGCGGCGGCGTTCCCAGAACGCCTTCTCCGTGCAGTGGGAGCCAAGGAGCACCATCGGGTGGGAAAGCAAAAGCAAACGCGGCGGGACGCGGCGGCAATCGAATATGCGAGTACTTTCAAACTATAAACAGGACTGTACAGTTGGCCAAAAATTATTTAGTTTCAGAACGATGTGGGTGGTTCCTGCAGTGCAGCCGCGGACCTAGGGGAGTGGTAAAGGGAGAAATTACCCCCTCCGCCTGGAAGGTAAAATTACTTTTCCCCTGTAAGAAAGCAAAAAGCACTGCTCACCCACCTCAGGAAAATCCTGAATTCACGCCTGCTGTAGTGTCGTCTCACTAAATTCCAACCAAGTGCGTGCAACCTTGGGTGCAACAACACTGTGCAATGCTCTCTTTCTCTCCTGTCAATGCCTTACGGTAGCCTGCACCCACACTGCAGCGCACTGCACCCATTGTGCGCTGTGCCTGTTTGAATGGCCGCCTCGAGAGTCTCACGCTTTCTCCACAGCGCCTTGTAAATCATCCCGGTCATTTGCCCCCGGCTGATTTTCGACCAACCCCTCTCTCCATTAACGCGTTCACCTTTCGGGGGAATTTTAGCGTTCCCGAGAAAATGGTGATGGAACAGCATCTTTCCCAACCCCAGTGACACCGGGGTCACAATCCAATAATATAGCGGCGCATTGACTATATACTTAATTAAATTTAAATTTGATTGTATCCTGTAGGCTAGGTTTTTCTTATTTCCGCAGTAAGAAACCAACTCCAATGGGTTGCGTGGCCAGCGTGTAAAACCAGGACTTCTCGGGGATGGTGGTGACCCCGGCCGACCCCTCCCCGGTGGCCGCCCCAGTCTCCGTGGGGCAAAATGAGCGCCGCGACAATGGCCCCTGAATGGCCCGACTGCCCCAATAATGAGCCGTTTTGTGTCGCCCCGCCGCGCCGCTGCCGGCCGAGTCCCGCAACGCAACGGGACAGCACAACGCGTCCACACAATTGGGCGAAAGGGCGCGCTCCTCCGGGGGGCCACGACGACGGCCACGACGACGGCGACGGGAGGGTCGAGGACCCCGCTGAAGAGGCCCGCTCCGCTCCGGAGCCTTCCGGGCTTGTTGCGAACAACGGGAGCGGCAGGGACGTCAACCTCGGCAGAACGCGCAGCTGTCGACTAGCCTGTCGGGGCTGCGAATCAGAGAAATCGGAACCGATCGTGCGTTGACCTGCAACGGGACCACCCCGGACTGGCGCGGCCGCGTTCGTCGGCAACCCCCGGGACAGCTCACTGCAGCGCGTCATCGAGGTGAACCACCTCCCCGAGCATCTCCCCGTCCAGGCCGTCCTCCCCCGCCACGCCGCGGTGTCTCAGTTCCTTACTAGGAAGCAGAGAAAGTACGCGGCCAAGTTCGTGGACGCGTTAGAATGGGAGTGACCCGGTGGGCCCGGCGGCGAGGGAGGCTCAGGCGGCGGTGTGGTTGCATCAAACGGACGGGGTCAACACCCCGCCAACGTCCCGTGGGGTCCAGATCGCGGTTACCCTTTCGTATCCAGGCCACGGGTCGACAGCAAAATCAATTAGGACACTTTATCGACAGTGCAGAACCAACTTGATAGCTCACGGAGACTTTTCAATACTGTTATTCCACGAATGTGACGCCATTTTCGTGACAAATGCGAATTTTGCCGCGTTCGTTTGAATATGATGTCACATTCGTTTGAATGCTTGATGCACGTTCATATTCAAACGAACGTGACAAAATTGACATTATAACGGATATGACGTCACATTCCTTGAACAGCAATGAACAAAGCCAACGAAAGATTGTCAAATGCATTTTGAGGTTATGTTGCCTTGACCACTTGCATTGCATTGTGTATTAGGTTCACAGGTTCACACAAGTTCGGACAAAACGTCACCTGGTTGTTACAGAACCGTATGTGTCTCATAGACAACTTGAGTTCACAGGAAACAGTTCGGTAAAACTGCTGGGCGTCGCTGCATCCACCGACACGGGTGGACCTGCTTTGTTGCGAGCGATGCTCGCCGCGCCATTACGGCAGCACGCGGAAGAGAAAGCAGCAGGGCAGCGAAGCAGCCACCCCGGGTTTCCCGGGTGGGCC